CTTCAAAAAACTTGGAGTCAGACCTAAATCTCTGGCCCCTCAACTTCTACAAGGACGAAATGTCCATCTGCCGTTTTCATCCGCTTGTACGTCTTCTCAAATTGGGGTCATTTTTCTGTGGTGGGAAAAAGCCTCTTGTGGGAAAAGTCCTCTTGTGGGTGCAGGCCTCTTGAAGGAAAAGGCTGCACACAGGAACAGACAGCAAATGGCCTGACACGGTGTTTTTTTTTAGGCCTCCCAAGGGCACACAGGTCAAGTCCACCAGAAGCCTTTTCCTGCCTGAGGGTCGAAAAGTGCAGAGGCAGGGAAACACCCACTAGAGGACATTTCCTGTGAGAGGACATTTCCCACCAGAGGACATTTCCCACCAAAGGGCCAGACCCACTACAGGCCAGTGAGCCTCAAATTGCGGACCGATCGACCCTGAGGCCATGCCTGAACCGCATGCTCCAGCAGGTGTAGGCAGATTTCCGGCTGGTCCGCTGGCTGGCGAAGTCGATGTCATGCACCATTGGGGTGCAGAAACCCCGTTCCCGCACCAAATACCGGTCCAGATCCAAACGCCGTTCCTGACTGAGGGGGTACTGGCATCAACTTTGGCTGAACTGCCGCTGCAGGCGTCAAAGGCGCTGGTGGCACTGTCGACCCTGTCCCCACATTTGGCACAACATTTGATGGTGGTGTAGGGAATTTTAGAGCTGCCGCACTCGATTTGGGCGCCTCACTCTTCTTCCCCTGAAGATCAATGAGCTTCCTGAGGTTAACCGTTGACACAATTTATTGGTTTCCTCCTGGTTCTTCGTCTGCTTGGTAACTTGGTTGTCGACCTGCGACATGATTTTTTCTAAAGAGGTAATCGTCTCTTTCAGGCTGGTGTTGATATTTTTGCCGCTTCCAGCAAGCTGCCATGAAATGTTCTCGAGGTGTTTGACTTCAGCACGATGATTTTTCGAAGTCTCCTCGCTGACATGGCGAACCGACACACTCAATCCGATGATGCCGTTCACCATCTCAAACATCTTCATCCCCATGTCTTCCATGCGTTGTTTGGAAGAAGTTTCCATCTCAGACACGGTCGAGAGACAGTTCGCTAGGTCTCCCGTGACATCTTGCAATCGAGCAAACCTGCTGATGGCCCACCTCAACAGGTCTTGAAAGTGGTCTCTTTCCCTCAACCTGCTGTCAGAACTGGCACGGGGCAAATCCGAGAAAGAAGCCATGTACGATTCCGGCGGTAGCAACTGTTCAAAGCAAATGTAGCTCCAGGAATCCTGCTCCGTCACGAAGACACGAATACCTGAGGTTCGATGCCTGCAGCAAAAGTCTCAGTTCCGCATCCCACGTTCTTGTGGCACCAAGATGGTGTCCAAATCCAACCCTGGGATTGAACTCTGGTGTCGTTGCACCCACTCTATGTCACTCTGAAGTTTGTAGATCAGTCGAGCGTAGAGTTCGCCGACTTGCGCCACCTTTCGGCCTCTGATTTGGACATCTCATAGGAGAGTAATTGCAGCAGCTGTTCTCCAGACTCAGTCCGGCTCATCTGCAGGCGCTGCAGAATGGATGATAACAAACTTGTCTTTTGCAATCGTCTCAGACATCGGAATTTGGCATGTTCCTTTCAAGCCTGCAAAACCGCCCAGGCACGTGTCACAGCCTTCAACGTCTTCAGCAGCAGTTTCATACACACATGGTCGAGACATGGTCTTTGTCGAATTGTGCTGTGGTCGAAACTCATGTCTGAGGCAGGCTTGGAGGCCAACTGCATGGGATGTCATGATCGTCTTCAGGAAAAGGCAGTTCAGAGAGAGATCATTGAGCTCTCTTCTGTTTGTCAGGGATGCAGGATGTCAGAGGACCACCGTCGATTGTTTGAGTGCGGAACCAAGATTCATGATTCATGTTTCTCTGCCGTGCACTGAGGAAGTCCAATCTTGAAACTTTCCAACAGTCTAGAGAGAGGCATGTGGAAGTCTTTGAGGAACGAGCTAACTCAGTCGATTGTCTTTTGAAGAAGGTGGACGAAGCTATGGACAGGTATCCAAGAGTCTAGAACTCCCAGCCAATGATCAGTGCTGGAAGTCGGAAGTCTTGAGGAAGGTTTTGTCGAGCCAGCGTCCAGAATTTGAAGGTATCGTGAACGGAGGTTCAATGAAGATGTTTACCAAGAGTCAACAACCAGTCGGAAAGAGGTTCAGGTTTATGCCAAACCGGAAGGAAGCCGCAAACAGGTTGGCGGAAAGATTCAAATGTCAGTGCATTGTCGAGCACGCAGCTTTCAACAATGTCAACTGGACAGAGACAGAACGATGCACCCGTGTGTTCGCTCGATACTTCGTTCGGTTTCTGAGAAGTGAGGCTGGGCGTGCATGAGCGGATGCTGCCGGATTTGAGAAGGGTCCGAGATGGATCTAGCACCATGAAGGGTGTTTTCTTCCTTTTGCAGCGCAACTTCTTCGATCAAGTCGAGAGGACGTCGCGAAAAGAGAGAGTGTCTTTTGTCTTAGTCATCGAAGTTCTCTTTTGAGAAGAGCGTCGAATGTCGAAGGTCAGAGGAATTAGATAGATTTTTGATGAGTCTGAGGTTTTCGAGGTCGGTCGAATGTCTCTTGAAGAGAAGATCGGAATCGGAGATTCAGAATGAAGGCAATTTCTATTCTATTCTGTTTGTGTGTGGTTCAAGCTCGCTGTGCTTGCTGTGCTAGCTGACTGCTTGTATCCGCAGCTATTTGGGCGCGCGTTTGCGTTTCGTCGCCGTTCATGGAGGCAGCCGTGATTACTGCTTATGTGGATGGGCGAGAGTTTGAGATGCTATGTATTCTCATTTTCGTGAGTGGCGTGTTCGTTGGAGGAATTCTGGCGAAGCTTTGTTGCCGTTCAGTGCAGGTGATTGTTGATTCGAGGAGCGCCTTGAGTCAATGGGAAAGAAGAGCACGAGAGATATGAGCGTTGGTGAACGATCTGGTGCCACCAGTGTTCGCAGATTGGCTTGATATGCACGATTCATACTACCGAACTGAGAAAGGAACAGTGTTGCATCTGACACCTTTCTGCAGCTATGCCAAAGGCCGTGCTTTGTCGCGCTTTCATTTCTGCAAGAAGTGCTTGAAGACGAGGCATGAGGAGAGTCCCAAGCCGCAGAATGATGTTGACACTTGACCTCGAAAGGGGGTGTGAAAGTGTATAGCCAAGCTACACTCGTAGCGAGGTCAGTTTACAACCCACTGTTTGCAGGACAACTGTTTTGAGAACAGTAGCGTTCATGTCTGAGTGCCTTGCAAAGCTTTAGCTGTGAGGGTTTTGCATTTTGAATGCTTGAGCAAGCGCTCTGTTCCAGAACTTTGTGTTTGGAAGTGTTTTGAGCAAGAGTTTTTCGCAGCTTTTGTAGTTTGAGGAGTTTTGTGTGCATATTTGAATGCTTTAAGCTCGATACCTCCGGTATCTCGCATGGAAATCGTTTGTTACAGGAATGTCCCTTCATAGCCGCTTTCGAACTTGACTTTGGCTCAAAGCCCAGAGTGCGCGTAAAAGGTGCGAGAGTGCTTTCGCTGTGCTAGTGAGTTGTTGCACGTGCTTTTGCTTGGTGTTTAGGACGTTTGTAATCTACTTACTTAAGGTAGTAGGGTTTTCAGGGGGGATGGCATCCCGAAAAGACCGCAGTCGCTTTCCTGCAGTTTCTTCCTTCAAAACTGAAGTTCTCCCGTGGATGGAAACACGCGATTGACGCCAACAGCTTCAATGCAGGCTCGCAAAAGCATCCCCGCTCTTGGAAACATTCCCAGACCACCAATTCAATTTTGTTGAGTTCATGCAGCAGCATGTGAACTTGTTTTTCAATGCCACGTGTTCTGTCATTGAAGCAGTGTCAATCGATGTTGGAAAGCAGGTCGTCACAAAACCTGAAATGGCTTTCAGAATGCGCTTTGTGCAGCTTGAGCAGGAATGATGACAAACATGTGACTTTTGCAATCGTCTCAGACATCGGAGTCACTTCCTGCAACTGAACTAATTGCTCCATCAAAACTGCAAATCACGTTCTTGAGGACTCTCAACGTTCTGCTCCTCAACCCGCAAGAGAAAACAGTTCAAATTGGACTTCAGAATGGCTCTTCCTCAACGGCTTTCGTGCTTGAGATGAACTCGACCCTTCTTTTGGACCTTCTGTGCAGTTGTGTTTTTCGGTTCTTCCGCCCTCACGCAGCATCCTTTTCACTTTGGCTTCGACTTAGCAACAACTTGTGGAAAAGGGTCCAATCACATCCAACAGAACCCACCCCACAAAACAGTTGAACAATGGAAGCGACATGGTGAGCGACATGATTGGTGGGTCATCAGGAACTTGGTGTCAACTGGTGCCGAAACAGTCACAAATGGTAAGACTGCAGTGGTAATGTCATCGTGCCATGCGGTTGTTGGTGAGACACTTCGTGCAAACGTTGGCAAATGTTGCTTGCACATTTTCACAATTAGGCAATCATCTCACAAGTGAATGAACAATATGAACCGTTGAAAAAACTGTTTTGTGGAAGATAGTTGTTTTCAACCACTGTTTTGCATTTCCAAGTGCTTGCGTTGGTTTGGCAAAATCCTAGCCACAAAATTCAATGTTGGAAAACACCAGCTGTTTGCGTAAAACATAACAGTACTGGAAAAATTGACATCATGTCATCCAAACTTCTTGATGCCATTGGTTCCTAGTGGGTTAGTTCAAATCGTTTGTAATCAAAAACGGTTGTAAACAGTGTAAAACAGAGCTCACGGTTGGAACGCAGTTGAAATAGCAGGGGAGGAACCTGCATCACAACATGTCGATCAACCAAAATTGGGCAGAGTGACGTCAAACCCGCCAAGGAGTTGTTGATGCGAACATGTCATGTGGCTCAGCATTCTTCCACTGGATGTCCCCAGGTTGATCTTGTCATCTGAACCGGTTTTCTTGGAAAAGACACCCACTTTCACATTGCGAATTTGCAGGGCACAGTGGCACCAACTGACAAAATACTGTTTGTGTTGGCAACACACAGTTTTCGGTGCTGGGCCGTCATGCCGTCATTCAAGGTGGGGTCGAACCCTGTCCAGTTCGCAGTCGTTTCTTGCAAACGCTTAGGGATTGGGACCCAGATTTGCTCTTGTGACTAGTGGTCCGTGGCAAGAGACCGAAAAAAACACACTAGTCACTAGCATCTACTTCAAGATCTGTTGCTGCACAAAACAGGGTAGTTTTTAGCTTTCCTGGTGCAGCAATGGTTGACGTGGATATGTGATAGATATGCAATATGCGACATGTCCGTTTTGTTTTTTCTTCTCCAATGGTCGGTCGTGTGCTGCGTGGACGCCTTCCGCCTTCGAGAGGCCTTCGCGGACTTCCAGAAGAAGGCGAAGGAGGACCTGTCCGACCGTTCGAAGCTGGGCCTCTTAACAGATCCAAAGGGACCTGATGAAATGAGGAGAGGCAAGAGGAGTGGACTGAAAAGAAACGCACAGTTTAAGGGTTTCTTGGAAGGGTGCAGATTTATGTACTATGCAACGAGGTGACATCTCCACTTTTATGTCAAAGAGAGACTAAGTGCCTTTCAACGATCAGTAAAAGAGAGACTAGCCTCTTTACATGGCACCACCTTTCCTGCCGGGGCCTTCGGGCCTTCGGGCCTTCCCCAGTCCTTTCCATGTGAAACCAAGGCCTGCAGAGCGGGGAGCTTCAGAGGGTGGGTGGGCCAACTGGTGCACTGAATTTAATAGCTTTTTGTTACTACTAGTAAGGCACTTGTTACTGCTAGCGTGGCACTTGTTACTATGGTGTTTCATTGGCGAGAAAAGAATCCGTTCAAACTTAGAGTGCCTTGACTTGAAGGTTGCTGAGGTTGCACGTCATAGGTCATCTGTGTAAACGTGCAGACAGTCCAGAAGCACCCAGTTTTCAGAACCTTTTCCTGGTGCAGGCGGGGGGGATTCTGAATTGTTTTGGCCAAGCAATGATTTGTTAGTTATATAGATGATTTCACCGCAATAAAGTTCTAGGTTTGGTTTGATAGTCCAAGTGACCTGCTCCAAACCCCTTGGTAGATTTCGGGACTGTCGAGTGACGGGTCATCTCGACGAGGGAGAACCTCCATGTCGCGACCGGCCGCGACCGGCCGCGGGTGGTTTGGTGTGGTCATCAGGAATGAGACCTCCAAGCTAATAGCGGCTTAAAATAGCGATGGCCTCCAACTTAAGAGCGACGGCCTGCAACCTGGAAGCGATGGCCTGCAACCTAGAAGCGATGGTCTCCAACCTAGCCTCCAACCTAATAGAGATGGCCTCCAACCTAATAGAGATGGCCTCCAACCTAAGAGCGATGGCCTCCAACTTAAGAGCGATGGCCTGCAACCTAGAAGCGATGGCCTGCAACCTGGAAGCGATGGTCTCCAACCTAGAAGCGATGGCCTCCAACCAAATAAGAGCGATGACCTCCAACTTAAGAGCGATGGCCTCCAGCCTAATAATTAATAGAGCGATGGCCTGCAACCTAGAAGCGATGGCCTCCAACCTTGTAGCGATGGCCTCCAACCTAGAAGCGATGGCCTCGAACCTAGAAGCGAGGGTCTTCAACCTACAGTAATAGAGATGGCCTCCAACCTATGAGCGATGGCCTCCAACCTAGAAGCGATGGCCTTTCAACCTAGGAGCGATGGCCTCCAGCCTAGGAGCGGCGGCCTAGTAGCGATGGCCTCCAACCTAATAGCGGCGGCCACCAACTTAGAAGCGATGGCCTCCAACCTATTAGCGATGGCCTCCAACCTAAGAGTGGTGACCTCCAACCTAAGAGTGATGGCCTAGGAATGAGACCTCCAAGCAGGCGGATGCGCGGCTTCATGCGAGGGGGTTGGGCTGGATGCCGATGCCGGCGCGTTCGTTGGCAACCGGCAGAGGGCCGGATGCCGGCCGGATGCCTCCGCCTTCGCCGAAACCCGAGTGGAGGATTTTGCTTTTGAAGAGTTCCCTTTTTATTCAAGAGCTTTGTGCGCTGCAGGTGAATGCTTAGGTTGAAACATGTCTTTTCTCTTTTCCCTTCTCAACAGGAGGCCTTCTTGTTTCAATACACCCAGACCTATGTTGCGTCCTTTTTTGGGACTAAATCCATCACTTTAAACGCAATCGTTTTCCTCACTTCACATTTCTTCATTTCCGGGAAGTGGAAAGGGTGAGGAGAGCTGGAGGAATATGGAAGAAAGCTGGACTTCCAAACACGACGACTCCCTGCACTTCACAAACTAGCGGAGTTTTCCGGCCAGAGTGATCTAACGTCAGCGATCCTCTGGTGTTCTTTTGCCCAATTCAGCGCCAGGCGGTCAAGGTGCGCGATGGGCAGTTTGGGCGGGAGAGTGGTGTTGTTGGAGCAGACTGTTGTGTGGACACCTAAGGTGATCAGAATTGGAGAAACAGGTGCCTGTCAGAGCCTGGCAAAGCCTGCAAAGCTTCTAGACACTTGTGGTTTCCTTTTGTTGATCATTTGGTGCTGTTTCTCTTGCTAGTGGTTTTAATTCTGACTCTGTTGAGAAGCCGAGAGTTCAGGCTCCGACTGGGAGACTTGAATAGCGGCTATGGCCAAGGTCAGTCTGTACAAACAACTTTCCTAACTTGGAGTAGATCGAAGATGTGGATGCCGTGAAGAATTGCATTGAACTAATCATCCACCGTCCACTCCAGATGCTTGTAGCTCCAGGGTTTTCGGAAGCACAGGGACATGCTGTTGGAAGATCCTACGCATGTTTGAAGGGAGTGCTGGTCCCATCCCGGTGCGGCCGACCATCCCTTGCGGCCTCGGCCTGCGTTGCCGAGACCGAGCGAGAAACAGACAGGAGCTCCAAGTCGGTATGTCTGTGCGGGTCAAGGGCCTGCAGGCGTGGGAAGGTTGAGAGTAAGGCACTTGTTACTAGTAGTAAGGCACTTGTTTCTAATAGCTTCTTGTTACTACTAGAAGCGATGCACTTGTTACATGATGGATTCCGAGCAAATGTCCCATCAAATCGTTCATCGCCGCGCGTCGAGTTGCGCCATCCTTTGTGAGCGCCTTGATTGTGCCGTGCGCTGCTTGAGCGAAGGCGCGGCCGGAGCTGAACGGCCTCGAGGGCGTTTTGACCTTCCGAGAAGAGGAGAAGGGCCGTTGGAAGGCGAGCCAGAGCGACGCGCTGGAGATGCCATGGCAGGCGGATCGCACTTTTCGGTGAACCGAATAGCCCAAAACCTCAAACATGTCCACCTGCCAGGTTTCTTTTTGACTTTGTTTGGACTTATGAAAAACCTGGTGAGACACGGATTCCTTTCCTGGTCACCGAATCCGCAAAGATGAGTATTCCTTTTCGTACATCTTCGGCTTTTGTAGACATTTTGCGGGAGTGACTGGTCCAACCGTCTTTAAAGACCTTGAACTGCTTAGGAAGAGTCCCAAGATTTCATCAGAAGTCCATGGCAAAGACCTTCCAAGAAATCCTTCCAATCGCGCTGGAGCCCTTCGCGCGGAGTCGGTGGTCGTTCCGGTGCCGGCTGGTCGTTGTGGTTCCGGTGCTGGGCGCAGCGGAGCGCAGGTGGAGTTGAAGAATGGTGGTGGCGCCAAGCTCTTCAAGGCGGACGGAGAGACTGGGGGTTTCTGTGGACTCCAGAAGGGAGAGACCGGAGAGGCCTTTTTGGAGATCTGAAAGCCGGATTCCAAAAACACACTGAGCGACCGGTTCCCGTCGCGACCGACGCAAGTCGTGGTCAACCGGTCTCCCGCATCCGTTCACCGAGTCGCCAATGGACGGTGGAATCGCCGAAGGGTTGGGGGTTTTGTGCACAAAAGTGAACTTGATGTTTGGTGTATTTGGTCGGATTGTGTGGTCACCGTTTGGCTTCAGTGCTCTCTTCTTTTGAACACCAAACATATGGATGAGGGGACACGTGTGTCAAGTATCGTTGACATAGTCCTCTTCGACCTTTCCTACCATTTTTCATCGGCCCACCTTAAGGAAAGGTACTCAAAAGAGAACTTGCTAAAATGGATGTTGCGAGGTTTTGTGGAGCAGAGAGTGTTGAACCTTTATTCACATTCAGAACTTGGATGACTGCCACGACTTTATCGAATCTAAACAGTGGCGGTCTGCAGAATTTGGGTCTCAGAACATAGCCACACGAAGCTCTATGTCAGTCTATGTCAGTCCATGTCTATGTCAGGTCCACGATTCGGTCCACACCGAACGGATCGGACCTGGTGCCTGGTGGCGCCAGGATGCCAATTTGGAGGCTTACCTGTCGGACCAGGCTGTGGAGACCTGTCGTGATTTTCTTGAGCTCAAGAGTGAACCCACGAAAGGTCAAGTCGTTCTGGTTGATGTCTTTAGGGTGGGCGAGTGGTCAACAGATTGTACAGGTTTAGCCCGGGTCTAGCTGTTTCTTTCCCCTGGAGCTGAGCAGGTTGGTCTGGCATTGTTTTCGGAGTGCTTGTGCTCGGGTAGGGCGGGAAAACTAAGCCTTTTCGAGTGACGAGTGGCTTTTCATCCTTTGATCGAAAGCATTTGGGTGGCTATCCTTTCCAGCTGTAACCGAAGCCTGCAAGCTTAAATGCAGCCCATAGATCGGCGAATCGGACCCCAGACCTTTTTGTTGTTGACAGGTGTCTGGGTGACCTTGGTGACCTTGGTCAGCCTTCCGGCTTTCACCGATCACTCCCTTTTGGCCGACTCGTGGACGGACTTGATTCTCCCACCAAGTCAGAAGACGAAGGTTGGATCAGGAGAGCAGGGTTACTACTAGCTTCTTTGTTACTACTAGTAAGGCACTTGTTACTACTAGCGATGCACTTGTTACTACTAGCTTCTTGTTACCACCATCCAGTTTTTTTGCCAACGAAGCGAACGCTTCAGAAATGGCCATCCACAGGGGAGGCTGAGGCCTGCGACTGGTTGTTTTCGACCACACATGACCCGACGCATGGGAGGATGCCCTCAACATCCTGAAGAATCCAGTCTCAGTGGCGAAGGACAGGTGAATGGCTGGTGAGGAACCTTTTCGGAGCTAGATGTTTCTTGAAGGCGTTGGCACAACAGGAGATTGCACGGAGTGTGAGGTGGCTGTAATTCGTAAGAGCAGGGATGAAGGAATCACAGATTGCAGAAACACTCCACCTGCAACATTTCAGTGCACAGGTTCCGGGTTGTGTGAAGGTTCCGTAAGTGTTGCGCAAAGAGGCAAAATGACACCACAAGATTCTCTTGCAAACGCATCGAGACCGCAAGACTCTTATGTCCTCCTGTTGAACAGCTCCGTCTTGTAGGTTTAGTTTTTCTTGGACAGTCTCAAGGTCTGTCAAGAAACCTTGCGAACTGGTTCGAGAGTTTTCCTCTTTTAAGCTTACCACTTCAGAAGTCCTTTTTTGCTTTTTGACATCCAGCAACCCAGAAGGGACTCCAGTGACCACCCATGAAAGGAGGAACAGAAAGCTTCGGTGCAGGTCGAGCGAGAGAATCGCCCTAGTGCCTTGACCAGTCCTTCTTTGATGGACTAGGACATCCAGTCCTTTTCCCACCTTGCCAGCAGTTCTGTGGAGTTGAATCAAATCAAATCAAATCAAAAGAGAGTCATTTTACCTACCAGATGACATATGGAAACGGAATCCAATATCTCCCCAAAATACTCAGCCTCTCCAGTGTTTTACCTCCTGAACGCCCCCGAGGTGTACCACCTGTTGTGGAGCCCTCCAAAGCAGCTGAGCCGCTTGAAACCGACTCTCGTTCGGGGCACCTGGTGACCCTGGGTGACATGGGGTGACGACCGACGAGGTCGAAAAGACTCACGAGAACGATGGAAACATCGCGGGTTTGGCCCGGCACCACAAACCGCCACATGCCGGAGGTATGAAACGGCTGTCAGATTGGAGAGAAGTAGGAGATCATGGTGTAGAGGAGTAGTCCCTTTTAAAAGGGGGTGTAGGCCGCTAGTAGAGGTGAGGTAGGTCAGCCAGTTAGGTAGCTAGTAGAAGAAGTAGCTAGTAGCTTAAGAAACTACTAGCATGGACGCAGGATAGCTCGCGCTTCTTCAAGGAGGCTCCCCCCACCGCCCTAAAGGCGGCGGGGGGAGCTTCCTTGAAGAAGCACTCAGCACTAATGATTTGTTCCTAGATTTTTTGGGAAACTTAACTTGTTTCTCTCGCTCATTCTTCTCGCAGCTCATTTTTTTTGTTTGTAGTGATACAATGCACTGCAAACTGAGGTGAACCAAGCAGCGGCTTGGCAAAGGGCCATGTGACTTTTGTGTTAGATATGGCATGATATGGTCTAAAACGCATATACTCATACAGGCCCTAGGGAGAACCCAAGTGAACAGCAACATGTTCCCCTGCTACTAAAAACTTCCCTGTTATACCGATAATACACCATGTACCTGAGCCTATTGCATGTGGTGGAGTCACCCCCCAGAATTGCCCGCGTTGAAGAGGAGTAACAAGGCAAGCACAAAAGCGTACACTGTCTATTGCGTTGTTGTAGGGAAGCTCAAACACATTTGACCTCCTTCCATCCCTCTCAACCACAGTCCGCATGCCTTTCTTTACACCAAAAAAAATCCGAGTATCCTCACTCGGCAGCCACGTTCTTTTTCTGGGCAGCCAGGTCCCAAGTCTTTCCTCGAACGGTCGCGGCAAGTAGCCGCTGGGCAGTTCGTTAAGGGACGGCTGGACGGCGCGGCGAGTTGCGTGAAAGACCACTACTTGCAGTGTGAAGGTGTTTTGAGGCAGACGTTGACAGAGTGATGGGATCTACAAGGGACGAGTCAGACGAGCTAAAGCCTTTCAAAACTTGGACCTCCTGATCCTTTTTGACCATGTGTGCCTCGCAACATTCTCAGGCGGACACTTCCTCCGGAGTGTCGGCCGCCGCAGTGGCCGCAGCAGCTGCGGTTGCGAAGGTGGGGTCCGCGCCAGCCACCAGAAGCTCTTTGACCAGGCCTTTAAGTCTAATAATCCCGGAATCCCAAGGTCTTTTGACAAGGCACCCCAAAGAAGGGGCTTGATTCCCCCATGGTTCATGTTTGAGGTCTCCCCAAGAGGAAAGCCGTGGGCACCTGACTTGATAGCCTCTGCGCTGTGACGTGAGGTTTCCAAGATGATATTCCTTGAGCGGGTTTGTGGGTGTTTGTTTTAGGGTGGTCAAAGGCTTCTTAAGAGTTCAAGAGCGTTTGATGCCTCAGGGTTTTCGGTTTGGTTCTTGTTATGGACTTTTTCTGTTTAGCATAGGTCAGCCCAGCAAATCGACATTGACTTGCAAAGATCTGGCGGTCTCTCCCCTATTTTCCAATCAAATTGCCGGCAGCGCTAGTGAGCTAGTGTGAAGCATCAACTCTCAAGGGGTGTGAATACTGAAATTGCCGGCAGCGCTAGTGAGCTAGTGTGAAGCATCAACTCTCAAAGGGTGTGAATACTGAATAGCTATCATGTTCTCGGACTCATCCGAGGGGCACATCTGAACATCCAAACTCGAGAACCTCGGAACCGAGACGTGCCATGTCTTCCACGCGCAGGGTGCCAAAGCCGGGCCCAGACCAGGTGGGGCCAGACGGTGGGCCGGGTGGGTGCGAAGGTCACCGGTGGGTCAACACCGGGCAGGTGGGCCTCCATCGATTTTCAAGAGATGCAGAGATGAGGGGTTTCCCAAAATCCCTTTCAAAGAGAATGTTTCTCTTCAAGCTGTACGCAAAATGCCTGGACCACAAGGCAAGTCGAAGGTGTTTGATTCGTTTTGTCTTGGTTTTCGGATTGCTCCCAGTGTTTCATCTTCCCAAATGTGAGGTGATGATAGTGACGTCTCAACAGCGCTGGAGGCGGGAAGACAAACGCAAAGAGGTCAGCATATCGGCGTATCGGCGCAGCTTAGAAAAAACCCGCCATGCCACCACGCTGCATATTTTTACCATGTATATATACAATATATATACTATTATTTTCGAGACACTCAAAGGTAGCACGTGCTTTTTGGTGAGTCGTCAACCACCCTGGTTTGGGGTGGTATGTAGGCACTCATTACAATCTTACCCCACTTGCAAGCATGCTTCCCAAATATATTGCCTTGAACGAGGCTCACAAACTCGAGATAAGGGTACGTACGGTCTGAATGCTACTAATCCAAACAGATCCAAACGGCTGAAAAAGGGACAGGTCAAGGTATCATATGCAACGAGGGTCCAACTGCTTCTACCAAAATACGCCTGCAAAATACTTTGGGTCATTCTAGGTGAACTGCCACGGTGCTTCAACGGTGCTATGGTGCGCAGGATGACGAGGCCTTCGTGCGATCCATCGAGCAATGCCTCAAGGAGACCAGTGGAGCCCCGCTGGAGCGTCGTTGGAACACCGGCTTTGGCTTTTTGCGACGGAGCGTGCGGTCTGGAGGAGCTCTTCGTGGTCGGACGTGGAGGAACACAGGAAATGGATGGAGAAGCACCCTACGCAAGTGTGAACAGCATGCAAATATTAAGGGTCGGAAGTTTGGAAGCTTCCAAGCTTCAACTGGGTGAACCTGGCTTTCAATCCATCCAGCACTTCCAGCACGGTGTTCGCTGCTTGTGCTGGTGGACAGCGACCCGTTTCTTCCCATCTTTCACCCGTGTCGAACAGCGACTCCTTTTGAAGACCATTGGTCCATATTAGTCCCTTGGAACTTTGTTCTGGCGCCACAGTCGCGTGGGACTATATAGCTCCACTTGTGTTGTAAATTTTCTATCTCATGCCGACCACGGGTTAGATTGGTTGCAGCTGCTTTTGTTTTGATAGGCTACGCGTCCTGCACTGTCTCTCTGCCTTTTGGTCTAGGATTCCCGCTTGTATGAAGAAAGATATTTCGTCCACATGCCATATTTCTTTAGTTCCACTATGAGTTCGTAGGTGAATCAAGTCAAAATGCCGCAAGGTGAGGAGGCGCGAGAAGATGTTCTTTCGCAAGTCCAATTCCTCGTTTTGGTGTTGACGCAGACTTGGTGGCACGCGTCCAGTTCGACCAAACGGTCCTTTTGGGGATTTGCTGCCGATCCTTGCTAGGAGTGCGACGTCATGTGGGACGACTACTGAAGTGGTTGAACCACAAAGGACCAACTCAAGACCGATGGCCTCCAGCGATGGCGCCAGCGTTCGCCTGCTTTGGAGTATGAAGTTTGGAAGAAAGGCATGTGAAGAATCAGGACTCGATTGAGGACTCTTGGGGTCACCAGTTCTTCATGAGGACTGTGTCGGTTTCATACTGAAAAGACCCTAAGTACTTTCCCAAAGGTTTTCTCCTGAAGAATCGAAGTCTGTGACATCGACCTGCATCTATCTGTCCTTTTGTGCCATGTTTTATTCGTTTCTCACATGGAGCATCTACAGTGAGCTTCCATCATGAGCATTTTTACGTGGGATCCTCCTGAGCGCAGGAGTGACTCCGCGCCACCTCACCGACGTTGACCGAAAAAAGAGTCCGCTTGCTGGTGCAGCTTGGTGTAGCTAGGGTAGATGAAGTGGGCATGAGGTTCAGCTGAAGCGATCTGGCAGAAGGGATGCTGGTTTTGCCAAGAAAGGATTAGTATTTAGTCGCTTTCAAAAGATCTTATGGCTTCCTGCTGGTCATGGCTGTTTGCTCTCAAGGCTTTGCTTCGCTACATGAATAATGAAAATGCGGGTGCATCTTCCAAACCACTCCTCAGCAAACGCAGAAGTGAAGTGACAGGCATGGACCACTACCACTCAAAGCTGGAAAACCATGATGCAAGGATCACCATGTCTTCAGCCAATCAGAAAGATGTATGGGACACATTTTCAGCAGGCTTTGGGTTTGATCTGCATGACGTTACCTTTGCCATATGCCGACCCCCCAATCCACTTCTGAAGACCATGAAGACCTCTTACTGAAGCTCTCACCTTCCGGCCCCCTCTTTGGCGCAAGGCGGCCCGGCCCAGATGTTCGCCCAATGGCCTTGGCGCCGGGAACGCCTCCGGTGGCGCCTCCGGTGCCTCGGGTGCCGCCGGCGCTCGCCTGCGAGGACTGGCCGCGCTGGCGGCGCTTCCGGCAGCGCTTCGCGCGCTGGGCGCGGCCGAGCCGTCGCGGCGAGCGGCCGTTGGGGCGGCCCGGTGGACGCCTGGTGGCGGAGGCGAAGGACTTGGTGAGGAATGCAAGTGAAGGGGAGTTTACGAGGCCGGGGCAAGTGGATGCGGCCGACTTGTGGAGTCAAGGAGCGTCATGTGGCCGTGGTAGGAGTGTCATTCCCAGGTAGTCTATTCTGTTCAATGTCCGTCAACCAGGGTTGGCTGGTTTTGGCCCACAGCCATGGATGTTGAACGAGGTTGAGGATAAGCATCTATTTCGACAACGTTCCACTTGCATTCCACAAAGCCCGCTTGGACCCGCACGTTGCGGTCCTGTCACGTCGGCCTTCAGGTCCTGGCTGAAGCTGCTGAGGCACCTGAGCGGGTCCTCTGAAATGCCTGAAGACACCTGTGCCCTGGCAGAAAACAGTGCATAGAAGAAACTCCTTTGTTCATGGAAGGGAATCAAAAGTGGGAATCGATTCCCCATGGTACTTTTTCTGCATCAAAAGCTTTACAGCATGTCGGAGCACGGACAGATCTTCCGGAGTCGACATGACGGGCGATCCACCAGACTGCTCAGCTACCAAGTAAGGACGATAGCCGTGCAAACGACCAGACTCCAAGGACTGTCACAAACGGATGTTGGGAAATTCAGTCAAAGCCAATCTAGTCACCTAGTCAACAACATTCTTTTTGATGTTTCTTGCACATCGATAAAACGAACAAGCAAATCATTAATACAACGAACGAACATCCCCTTTGTCCAAGCCGTGCAGCGGCCGTGCCTCGGTGCTCGGGAGCGAGTGAGCGAGTCTTCCGTCGTCAACGGCGAGGTCCGGAACGACGCGTCGCCAACGCCCAGGCCTCTTCGGGGAGGTGGCCGCGCAGCAGGTGCTGCTGCTGAGCACGGAAGCTTTGCTGTGGCAGGCGCAGGTGGCCTTGCAGACAAAAGACCTCAGGCCATGCAGACGGGAGCGGCGTCCCGTGTGTCGAGCCATTCGTGTGGAAGGGGTCCGTCGGTCCGTCGACGGGTGCGTGGGAGTTTGGGGGGGGATCGTGGTGACGAAGGGTACTTTTCCGCTGGTTGCAGAGGGTCTCCAGCGAAGATTGGGGGTGATGGGAGGGAAAACTTGACGTAGAATTTGGGCGTGGCTCTGGTTATATATTGGACCTTCCTGACCAGTGGCTTCTGACTGACACTCTGACCACGCGCAGCTAGTCGCGACACCTTTCCGAGATCGAGAATCCGAAAGAAGCTGAATACTGCCTGACTCAATCATACACTCAGGAACCGATCGAATCAACCAACCAACTGACAAGCAGACCAACTAGCCAACTGAGAGTTAGTGAGTTTGTTGGTTGTTCTCACTCTCTCAGATATGTTTGTCGGATTCAGCTGACAATGGCACTCAAAAGATTTCCTCAAGGGCAAGCAGTCCTGGCCAAATCATCGCGGTGTGGACCAAATGTGTGCACCGTGAGGCGAGGTGGTCATGAAACCGAGTGCCATTGCTTTCCAGCCGATTTGAAGCCGCTCAAGAGTGGATTCATAGGGTGACCTTCACAAACCTCATCGCCGCACTTGACCATGTCCAAACATGCCTTGTGTGGGGCGCTGACACCTGGCATAGCCTGGCACCGGTGCTGGGTGATGGGTGTTCTCGAACCTCAGGCCGCGGAGCATGTCAATGTCTGCTCTTTTTCTGCCAGGTATGTGATGCACGACAGTGGGTGGCCGGTCTTCTCGCCCTTGGATTTGAGCTTGGAGGTGAGGGCAGGGGACCTGGGAATGACATTCTGGAGCAGTCTTGCTTGGTCTTTGGACCAATTCCATACTCTGTCTGCCATCTGGGGCCACCTCTACGGTGGATGCTTGGATGATCGATGCCAACACCGAAGATTCACAAATCTGGATTCTCCGCACCGGCCCCGTGGTGCCCACCGTCAGGAGCCGCGCCCCGTGGTGCCCCGCCACCCTTCGGCCTTCGGCACCTTCGGCAGGGACCTCGGGCGTCCACCACTTCCGGGTGGCGTGGCACCGAGTTCGGTGCAGATTGTGTTGGTGGGAAGCCACAGCAGCCAGTTGCGGCAGACCGGGCAGATGATCCAGGAGCAGTCCGTTGGTCGATCCGGAAAAGAGAACGGGCGGCCCGTGCCGGTGGGGTGTTGGGAACTGGACCAACGGAGCACAAAATAGGGGGGCTTGAGCCAACAGTCGCTGGGAACACTGAGTTGGATGCTCTCCATGTCGGACTGGCAGGAGATCGCTGACTCAAGAGCTTTGCAGGTCCATTTGAACTACGCTGGGTGTGTCTATGTCGCTCGGTGATGAGCGTAGGACAACCCTGTGGAACTCGGGGCATTCGCAGTGCAAATCTCCGGGTGTTCGCCGGCATGAGCTGGCTGGCTTTCTCCTGCTTGGGTTCGCTTTAGCTGCAACGGTTTCGCATGCTTATTCTTGATGTAGATGGGTTGTAAGTAGATCATAAGCCACCACGGCAACCAGCTGATGCGGGGCCCACGGCGGGGTGTTGCTCTTCCCACTGCCTTTGGCAAGGATTCCCATCCAGGTTGCTGTTGAGAGTATTTTCACAAGGTCAGCAAGGTTGTCAAACATCATATGAGGAACATGTGCTTCAGATCTCCACCTAGCGTGGTGGCTTTGAAACTGGAAACCATCGTCAGACCCGATGAGGTTCCCTATGCCTGTGTGAAGTTGGGCAGTGACATGTCCTCGCTCCTCTACCACAGCCTGGCGCGTGGGGACGCGGACCCTACGGCGATCCGGGAGGGCTTGGAGGCAGCGAAGATCGGCAGCTATGGCCTAGTGGCTTGGGAAAAAGGTGCCTTTGAAGCCCCACCCAAAAGCATCTACGGAAAGGTACCGGTTCTCATCGTCTTCATGGTCTGGGCCGGAGGTGAGCCATGTCGGGACGCTGACGGTTGAGGATGTTTGCCTCAAGAGTTGACAGGTTGCAAAAATGCCAAGACTACGGCCTGGTCACGGGTGCTAGGTGGGCTGCAGGGTTTTCAAGATAAAGGTCCGGAGATGGTGAAAGACTGGCACAATGCTTTGTACTTTCAGTAATTTTAGTGCTCAATGCCCAATGCTCTTGTTCCTTTTCGGGCTTCGGACTGCTCTCCCGCACCCGATGCATTTTCACCGTGGAGCAATTGGTTTGACCTGCTGGTCAGCATCAGGACCTCAGAGTGACAGCCTCGTTTCAGAACACCCCGAAAGCTCTCAATGAATCTATAGTTGTCACTCAAGAGAAAGAAGCTTTGCTTTTGGATGTATGGAGTCAGCGGAGAAGCTTTAGACACTTTCTATGCCGGACCACTGATGTACTTGAGGCAGTTGTGCTGGACATGGGCCTAAGCTCTCTCTTGCGAAGCATCTCTCAAGCGGCTTGGCGATGGAATTAATAGGCAAGACAGCGGCGGCCGATGCTTTTTGCCACCTTGGCAGCCAGTGGACTGTACATCGGTGTGTTGAACATGTATGTCATAGACTTAAAGGAGCTGAGCCACAAAGTTTGTGGATTCAGGATGCATCTGTGCAATCTACCTGCAGCTCTTGGTAGAGCATCTTGGTAGGGCTCAACATGACTTAATCAGTCCTATCAGTGCTTCGCATCTCTAAATTTGGTTGATGCTCCACACAAACTTATTGATGAAGTCTTTCCTCAACACTATGGATGACTGCTACTGCTAGGGCGGATTGTTTTTTGATTGTGGCAGATAATTGTTCAATAGCAACATACCTTGCTAAATGCTGCGTTGTTTGCTCGGTCTTTCATGCCAGCTCTCTACGCGTACCACACCTTCCAATGAGCCTTTTCCTTTTTCTTGCCTCCGGTAGCTGTTTCCTTTCGGATCCTTATGAAGTGTAAGATCTTTGTTCCACCAGAATGAGAACGACCTCAGATGGACATCTTGTCCAGCAGAAGCCACCCGTTCAGAGGCCAGAGGCCACGGCCCCTGAGGTGCCGATCCTGCACGTCATCGGGATCTACCCCTTGACGCTGAATGATGAGCTGGGACGAGCGATCCCCGAGGCACGAGCGATCCCGCCGATCCGAAGAAGGGGGTCGAGGTCTCGTCAGGTTCAGATCAGGTGAGGTCTGAGGTGTCTCAAAGATCAATGGAGATCCGGTCAAAGATCAGGTGGGTCGTATTTTTTCGTGGGGCTTCTTTGCAAGATTTGCCACACAGGCCACCATTTTTCAACGATTCGAGATGGTGGAATCGTCCCAAAAAGGAATGGTCAACACATGTCAACACTCTGGCTGATTCCCTCTGATCACTTCTTCCAACCTTTGACATTCTTTGATGGAAAAGGAGGCGCCGCACGGCGTGCCATGTGGGCCCCTCTGGAATCTTCGCAGGAGCTCCGGCAAAGCCTGGAGGATTCCAGCATCTACTCCTTGGCCACCTCCACGGTCTGCGCGCTGCAGCTCTGGTGGATCTCCGGACGGCGGCTCCCGGTGCCCCGGAGAAGCCGCACCGTTCGAAGGTGGGAAGGAGAAGTCGCACGGTGATGACTTGGAAAAGGGATGAAACGTGTCATTCCTCTTCTTTCTTCGAGTTTTGATAGAGACATTCGGAAATCAACCACGATCACGCGATCAACAACACAGCACCGATGCTGACCAGGGGTAAGTTCATTTGTGATGCGTTGGGTAGTTTCCCATGATTATCATACTTTCAAATTGACAGGTTCGACGTCGCTTGTCCAATTCGCGAAGTAGGTCCCCCAAGGGATACGGCCAGGCCTGGTCTTTGATAGCATCCCATTGATCCTCTGAGGAAAGCTTAGTTTTCAAAGATCTGGCATTTCTGTGTGGTTTGATCTTGAGGTATGTCTATTTTCCTTTTGACTTCTTGGCAGGATACTTGTGGGTTGTCCCATCCATTCATGTTTCCTGAAGGGTATTTGAAAGAGTCGGATCGTCTCTAGGCGTCCACATCCCGTCATTCGTCCCGTCGCGGCGTTTCCCATCACCGTTTCCCACTGTATGGGATGGGCGTTTCCCACGCTTATTTGGAGGGGCTACCAACAGCCAGGGTCGGAGGCCGGTGTTGTGGTGGATTTTCGGTGCAGGCCCCACAGACGGGCTCAGCCAAGATGCAAGTCCATGTTTCATTTGTTTTTTTTGGTTGTCTCACATCCAGGCCATCAGGTGCCTCACAAAAACCCCTTTGCAGATTTGTCCTAAAATTGTCAGGAACCTTGTGCCCAAAATGTTGTTTGAGACGCGTGAAGACATATTTGAGCTTCGAACCCGACAGGTCGTCGAAGACATCCATTCACGAAAACACCGACGTGTTTCTTTTCTTTTTTTCCGCGATCTGGGATTTCGCGTCCGTCCTAGGTCATAACGCCCTTGCCGGAGGTCAAGCCGATCTACCAAGGGGGCCTCTCGTCTTGCCAACGGGTTTTGACAACTCAGCCCCCCAGCGCCTGGGTTGGAGCGAAAAAGGGGACAGCACCGACGGTTCCGAACTGCCCTGAACCGGTCCCTGTTTAGGCTGTTCGCTCTTGGGAATCGCAAGAGCGACAGGCCGAAAGACAGAACCTGAACCCAGTGAGATCAAACATCGTTAAACTCTTTGATGGTTCAAGGCTACACCGTGAAATGAGAACATGCCGTTCGTGGCCACCGTGGCATGTTCGTGTGGGAAGCCAGCCAAACGAACCAAGGCCAAGGCGAAGTGAAGAGGCGCGGAATGTCCCATAGCACCGTTCAACCAAAATGCAGCTGCCTACTCCAATGGTGGGCCAAGTGATATATCCGAGTGGTTTTGTGAGACTGCACATGAACATCATAGCCAACTTGCAATTTCGTGCCAAAGCGTCAGTATGGCCAGCCAAGGGTTTTAGGGATCCGTACATGGAGTTGGTGTTGCAGATCCTGATGTACAAGAGGGCAAACACGCTCAGAACGGACCCCAGGAACCACACCCCATGCTCCTCACCGCAGCTCCTCCGGTAAAGCTCCGCTTTCTCCATTGCCGGAGGCGCAGAATTTTACAGTGGCGGGGCGATGTGCTGTGGAACACCGTGGCTGGAAGCGTGCTCCTTACCTGGAAGCGTGAGGGCCAAACATGAAAAAGTCCAGCAATGCGTAGAACAACGGGGCAGCAATCGGCTTTTTGACCTTCAAGCCTTGAGATTACTTCCAATCCCATTAGTTCATTTTCTCTTCATTTTGTGTGAACTGAGATCGTCGAACCTGTCAGATTCGTGTCTAAAGTGCCTTCGAAGCAACACTTTGATACCTGCTTGTGGCTTGTAGCAGCATCCCTCCGAATTGCGAGTTGTTGGGCTTGTCAAAGGTGATATTTTTTTCACACTCTATCATTGCCTTTATAAGTGCAATATGACATGGCTGGTGAAATGAAAGAAGACAATGCACCCAACAATTAAATTCCATGGTGCTATTACGCATGGGCCTACCACTTGGTGCAGACACACATACATTCAGAGAGAAAACAACAATAATTGATTGCAATCATGTGGATGGCGGAGAGTTCCCGCTATGGGGCCTGTACTTTGCTTTTGATGTTTGCATACTATTAATGTTTGCAAATTTTATATAGTGTAATGGACGTTCTCTTGCGTGATTCAAGGTTTAGCTTTTCCGAGTTTCTTTTTCGCGTTTCTTTTTCCACATACAGTAGTTCTTCCGCTTTTATCAGGCTGTTCCCGTTTTTCAAGGGGCTTTTCTTGTGGTCAACTTGCACTTGAATTTGTGCCAACCTCTTTCTACGCCTATAGATATGGCCAGTCTGAAAAATTCTGAAGCAAACAAAGGCATTCCTCAAGGATATTAGGAGCTAGACCAGACACAGGAATATTGCTTGGCATCTACCCTTGCGATATGCTTACACTATAACTTTTGATACCCAAAAGATGTCTTTAAATGGTAGCTCCCATACTTTAAACACTACTGACAAGTCAATTCGCACTATCATGGTTCCTTTTTTTCCTCTCTAGCTTTTCCTGACGAGCTGTTCTATTGCTCCAAGCGTTTGTCATATCTCATGCTGGATCAATTTTTGTGTTCAGTCATGTTATTTTCCAACATTTAAGCGTTCAGGGACTGTCCCTAAATGATCTTTAACTTCGAGATAGGTTCATACCAAGGCGCATTTTAGCGTATTTATATAATGCTTTGTAGATTCAGGACGAAGAAGGGCCACAAGACAATTTTGGATGAGCTCCGCTCCTTTTCTACAGGAAGCCTTTCGATTTTCAGAGTATACCGCATAGATTTCTTAAACAAGCACCTTCTAAAGTTGTGACCCGCAACTCTCACACAGGAGATATCTTTCATGCAGAATAAGACTCCTGTTAATGGAGAATGCCTTTGATATGGCAAGAATGCAGAAGAAGACCTGGGAAGATGCTCCTGGAAAGAACGATGCTTGACACTTGCTTCTAACTACGCATTTGCACGAGAAGACTGGGGTAAATAAAAGAGGAGCGCTGTACACGCAAGGAGACTTCCGTGTGATAGAGGAGGCCTCTGAATAAGGTAGGACTTTTGATATTTGTATGGCACAAAGGCACAAATAGAGTCCCACCTAAGGACGGCAAGTGCACGACAGAAACGTGAAGACTCTGTCAACAGATGTCTTTGAATAAGAGAGCAAATCCGTTACACATAAGAAGATTCTGAACAAGCAAAGGATATCCTTACAAAGACTGACCCAGGCCCTTAAAGTTGGTTCATACCAAGCACAATTGCTGGACCTCGCATTGCACCCACAAACGAAACTGTGAGGTTCTGGGTGTGGGTGCAAATGCTGCTCCACCTGAACTCCGGCATTGACATTGCCGCTTAGTTGTTTGACTTAAGTTTGGGGAGTGGTGTAACACTGGGAGTGGGCCAGCACCTATTGAACATGTTTGCGAGAAAGTTCTTTCTGTGAGTTTCATCTATTTCTCACAAGCAAGAGGTTGGAGGCCATCGCTTCTATGTTGGAGGTAGGTTGGAGGCCATTGCTATTATATAGGTTGAACGAGATGCATCTATGTACATGTACTGAACCCAGCATGAAGCATCATGGAGCCTTGGAAGACAAACCCTTGGGTGACTCAGGGTCAATGTGAGAGTTTGGAGTCTCAAAAGCAATAGTCCAGCATTGTGCGAGGGATTCACTACAACAATTCCCGGGAGTATGTCCCCAGATAGTGTGAGCTATTGGCGTCCTTACTTCAAGTAATAGGAAGAGGTGCCTGTGCGCGCTTTGGAGCCTGGGTGCTGATGCTGTTGCAGGGTCCTGCTTCAGGGTGCCGCTGCTAGATGTCTATGGCAGTGTGCGCTTTAGAGCCTGGGTGGTACCGCTGCAGGGTGCTACCCCACATTTTTTTTTGCTATCTGGGGTCCATATTGGCGTAACTTTTTGAATGTACTCCCTCAAGAGTATATTTCCCGTCTTGCATTATGTGCGATGAATTGTTTTTCAGGTCCGCATCACGCATGGCGTGGGCACCCACATGAGCTGGAAGGACCTGATTAGTGAAATCATTCGTAAGGGTTTCGCTTTTTGCTGGCTTTGTGGAAACTTGTTTAATGAGTCTTGGCACCTTTATCGATCGTTTGCGTAAGGATACATTCATGACGCGAAAAAAGGACTTAAAAACACGATTCCTTCAAATGGACCTTGGGCAACGAATGGGTGGACTTCTGGGATTTTCCACGAATGGCAAGCCTTTGCTCGAGAGTGCAAAGGATGCATTGCGATGAGTGCCCCGAACAACAGTCCCATCATGAGTGCTCCCGAGACGAAAAGAGTCCCGAAAGAAAATCCTGCATGCAAACCCAGGATCCTCCAAATAGCCTGCACAACTGCATCGATGCCCAGTCCGAAAGATAGAAACACTTGTAAATTCCTCTAAGTTCCTCCAAGCCAACGGAAGCTCTTCGAAAGACATCTCAGGCCACTCCACCTACCAAGCTCCCCCAAAAAGGACTCCAATGCGCAGTTCCAATTCGCGGAACCGACGTGAGGTCGTTCTCCTTCGGAGTCCTTCGGAGTCCGAACGGAAGTCCTTCGGAGCTCCAGGAGGTGGGCCGCCACGATGCCGTGCTGTTTGTGCCCGAGGACCTCACGAAGATCGGCTTCTGGGTACCTTGGTGAGAGCAGTGACAGAGAGTGACGGACCGTCAAAGCGACGTCAGTGGTGGCCCACGTGGTGGCTTTTCAGTTTTATGTTTACTTTTTGACTTTCAGTCCAAAAAGGAGCTGATGAGGGCAGCAGCTCTACGAAGACCTTGGGGAATATTGAATGCAGCCAACATAAGTCGAATCCATGATGCTAACATACACTAAGATGACGGCACCTGCGCGCAATGCTTGAACCCTAGAATTGTCTTAGGTCCAATATAACCCAACATAAGTATTTGTTTTTTGGAGGCATGCTTGTTAACCAGCTGGGGATATGCTGCAGCTGCAGAGCCCCCCAAATCCAACCACCAACTGGGTTGGCCTTCGCAAAGCTTCTAGAGCAGCCTGACTGCACTTGCCTGGCTGGCCTTTTCTGAAGCTTTTCAGCGAGGAACCATTGACTACTGGAATACCCTCATTCTCAAGCCTTATTTCAGTGGCTGACCTGAAGCCCGATAGGCCCATTCAGCAGACCCTGACAGCCTGAAAGAATAGCTGGTCGAAATGCGTTCAAAGTTTTGTTTTCTCCCATGAATGCCAGGGGTAGAACCGGCTTGAGGACCTTTATGCATCTGCCATGCCCCTGTTCATCACCGATGAAAGCTTGACGGCCAGCCTCCTGTGCCCGGAGCCCATGTCTCGGGTGAAGATGCACTACTTCGATACGCACTGGCGGCTGCCCTTCTTTGAGACAGGCGTGGTGGTTCTTCACGGTACTGTCGATGGGGCGTATATCGGGGACCTGACTGGTGGAGACACTCCAAGGTTTGACACGGTATCAAGCAACCATAGATGGTTTGAACATCCACAGTTCCGGCAACAGGAAACTGGACATGATAATATCTCCAGCATATCTCACATGACCGATCCGCCGTCCGCCGTCCGAAGGCGAAAACACAGGTTCCCCCGACTCAACGGGTCAGGCCCCAGAGATCGGACGACAAAGTCCAGAGGGACATTTCTTCTTGTTCCGTTCGTAGTAACAAGTGCATCTCTAGTAGTAACAAGTGCCTTACTAGTAGTAACAAGAAGCGAACGTAGAAACAATAAGCTAATAGCTTCTTGTTCCGTTCGTAGCGATGCCAGGAGCCCCGAACGTAGCGTTCTTGTTCCGTTCGTAGCGATGCACTTTGTTACTAGTCGCGGTGATTCACCAGACCAAAGAAACCGGTGAAACCGGTTTCTCATTTGCACGATCCAAACGCACTCAGTGAATCCAGATGAGCACAAGAGCCAGAAGGTGACACCTGACACGGTGGGTTCTTGCATTCGAAGTCCCGGAATCTCCGCTCACAGTGAACTTCCGGTTGACTCACGCAAAACCAGACCCGACCGATTCCTCTAGGGCATGCTTGCACAGACAGGAATCTTTGTCAGACTCCAGTCTAGCAACGAGACTCCACTTTAGCTTCAATACCTTCAACTCTTCTTCGGTGCACATCTAACTCTCAACTTCACTTTTCCAACAGTTTCATTTCCAACCTCGAACTCTTCGAGACTCTTCTCGAGACTCTTCTCTTTCGACTCTTCTTTCGCAACTCTTCGGTAGTTTCTCCCGGCCTAGGCGCCTTCGAAGCCTTGGAGCCCTTCGACCTCGAGCGCAGCTGCGAGACGCCCGGCTGCGGCACGAGCGCGAGGGGTTGCGCAGCGCCGCGCCGGTGGCGAAGGTGTGGGGTTTTCTTGACCGTTCTACTGCGCGGCGCAGTCCGGCTGCGGCGCTGCTGAGGAGGAAGTTGGAGTTCTGGGGCTCTTATGCGGATTTTTATCACTTTCCGCATGTGATGATCTTTGACGCCTGGCGATGGTGGTCTTTGGGGTTGTTGGGGTTGCTGGGGGAGGGGTTTTGTGGGATAAATCGATGTCTCACTGGCACGGGCCCGGCAGGTTCAGAAGTTGTTTTTGCATGTTTTGCTAGCGGGGGAACTGGCTAGTAATTAGGAGGCGTGCATTTTTATCAAACCACGAACAGATGTTTGATGTTGTTACACTTGGGATCAAAGTCGGTACCTTTCATTATCACTGTGAATAATAGCATTGTTTATGTTGAACTAGGGCAACATGTTTCTTGAGTGTACTTTTTAACAGTTCTTGTTCGATCTTTTTTGCGTGTTTTGACACAATTCCCTTGCGTTTCGGACTGTTCTGATCATTTGGGTGTTCATGTTTCAAGGTTAGCATGTTTTTTGCGGGGAGGTGGTGGGGGGGGCGGTATTGACGTTAGCTCGAAGTGGAACATCACTATGTGCAGAGTTGAACAACAACTGGATGTGCATGGCACATACTTCAAGTGAGCAGCGACCAAAACGTCCAAGCAGACTAAGCAAACTTTTAAACTCCCTCACCGCGGAAGCCACTCGGAAGTGAATGTCATTCCTAGATGATTTGGAGCACGTTGACTTCCGTGGTAATGTCAACCCTCAGCTGTTTGTAAAGACACAGCTGGAGGTGGGAACACATAGGAAAAAGATCTGATGCAGTGCACTGGAGAAGCAATTGCAAAGCTGTATGGCCTACGACAGCTTCACTGTGTCACTCTGATAGGAAAAGAAATGCTGCGATCTTTGACGGCAGCGACATGTGAGTCACTTTTCAACACATGTTAGTCATGTAGCCGAATCAGCAACTGCCTCGAAAAGGCCCGGAAAAGAAGTGGCTGTTCCAGTGATGGTTTTCGATGAACATGTGTACTTCGACAGTGAAACGCGAGTTTGAAAGGAACACCGATGGAGAGACGTCGACGTAAATGCCTCACTTTTTGGAAGTCAAGTGGTCCGCAACACATGTTTTTTTGCAGTGTTTACAAGCTTATCCAAGGTTGACAACCCCCAAAAGACGCACAAATGCACGCGTTGTGCATTGCACACCCCTGTGGTTGTTTTGTGGAGAGTGCCATGAAGCCAAATCGGAATCTCTTTTTCAAGCTATCCAATGTTAGGAGGAGTTATAAAAAACCATAGACAATTAGAATTATGAAACAACATGTGATTTTGTCTAAAACCTAGATGCAGAGTGCCCTTACCTGTTTCAACTTAGGCTTCCTGGAAGGGTACACGGGTATTGCGTTGACTCTCCGAATTGTTTGAGACTGAGCAGCTACAAACATCATGTTCAACCACCTTCATCAACCCCCAAAGGAATTTTCCAAGCCAAGTAGACCTTCCAAGCCCTTCTATTTAGTCGCCCTGCCTCCAACCCGTTGGACCTATCCCTTTGGAAGGACCTTCCCCTCACTGCCACCCGAGGGTGGGAACTGCCACACTCATTGAAGTGGTGGAAGGTCGGCACGCGTGCCCACTGGTCAACATTTGCAGTTCTCCCACCATCCAAAAAAGCAGTTCTCCCACCCAGCAGCTTAGGGTTCCGTCCATGGCGGGATCCGTCCAAGGCGTCGGGCATCGATCTGGTGCTGCAAGTGCTCTCCGCCGATCTGCTCGCCGTCTCCCAGGCCATGGCGCACTGGGCGCTCCTGGCACGTCAGCGGAGCATGCGGCGCTTTCACCATGCGTTGGCTCAGGTGGGAAATGAGTTGTAGGGAACATACGGATCGGAGAGGTATGGTCAGTGAGCTCAGCAGTGATGGGTGCCTAAGTTTCACACCTTGACTGCATAGGGGTTGGAACTCGCTTTCTAGCTGTGTTAGTTGTTTCCAATCCAAGCAGGCCTGCACAGAGCAAGGACAAATTAGCCCGATTGTGGGCAACGGAAATCCATGAAAGCAGATAGGAACGTGCTCTTCCGTGAACTTTGCAAATGTGGATTCTCTTGAGCTTCAAGGGATAGTTCACAACTCATGGTCTTGTGTCCAACCAGTCTTCTCAGGTCTACCCAATCTTCAACCAGAGCACATCAGCTTGATGTCGCATGCCGCATACTGGCGCGAAGTACCCTGCTGGGTCATTGCACCCTGCGCGGAGTTGTTTGTGCAGCGAAGCGACGAACGGAATGGACATCTGTGTGGGACAACGGCTGACGACACGACCGGAGATGTCTCGGATCACGACCGGGCTGGGCAGATGGCAAAAGGAGGACTTGCTGTGGAGGATCCTCCCTTCAAAATGGTAGGGGGTGGTTGGCACTAAGCACGGCACCAAATCGTTTGTCATCATCATAAATTACATACAATTAACGAAACCAACGTGAGACAAGCTGCATTTGCAAGTACTGCTTGGATCCAGGCAACCTTGATCGGGCATGATTGATTTCCGGATACACAGCTGTGAGTCCGCAATTATCGGGTTGACGGCAGCCCTCGGACAGCAGTGAGACGATTCAAGAGGGCCACCATCCGAAGGTGTTCAAAGAGGGCTATATAGCGTTTTTGCGAGGCAACATCTCAAGGAACCAAGGACACCCAGTGGGAAACAGAGTTAGCAACAAGTGGGTTATAAAAGGTAAACCTGTTTCTTTCGATTCTTCCCTTTCTCGATTCTCCAGATTCACGGCGCTTCATCAGGTCCCACAATGAACGCAGCCGGTCCCCTGGTTCAGCACCGAAGCATCCACCGTCGACCGCGGTGTCGGTCGGAACGGGCGTCGGAAAACCGAAGGACTCGCCGACTTGCCACTTGATGGCTCATGGAGCCATAGAATCTGATAGATGTCCACTTGAGCGGTGTCCGACATCCTAAAGAGACCCAAACCCAAAACAGCAAGTTGGGAATGAGTTGGCTTGCGAACACACGATCAACCTTGGCCTTTAGATGCCTTTAGGATTAATCAAGGGCCCCATGGACATTTTTCGCTTTTCAAGCATCAAAGACAGCAACAGTTTCTAGTGGGCAGGAGTGGGTCTCCTGCCCAAAATGCTCGCATCTTGGGGCGTTTTCTTCAGTGCGCCTTTGATCCCTCTCCAAAACCTCGCCTCCATCGCCTCGTGCGCGTGACCGGTGGCCGGCGCCCCATGGAGACGTCCGGCGACGGGCCCGGATGTGCTGGAGCCTGGAGGTCACCCTTGCCTTCGCGGCCGCCGAGACCCTGGCACTGCTGGCGTTGGTGGGGCGCGCGCGGCGCTATGAGCCTCGGGGTGGAAGTTTGGTGCCACATCATTCAGAATTCAGTTTTGGTCGGATTTTTGGGAAGAATCTACAGTAGGTCTGATTGGCACGACTTGATCTCCTTTCACAGGAGTAGGTCCCCACAAACTCTCATCTGCCTCCTGGTCCTCATCCTCATCCTCATCCTCATCCTGATGGCGGTGGTGGTGGTGGTGGTGGTGGTGGTGACCCTGAGACCTGAGACCTGATCCCACTGCAGGATAGGGCCAATGCTTTCCTGATTTTGCCCCTGGTGTTGCAGGAGTGGCTGCAGGCGGATGTTTTTGTTTTGTTGGCTTTTCCACTTTTGACTCACAACTCAAGTGCTGACATGTTCTGGATATGTGTGCCGAGGAGGCTTGTGAACCTTTCTTTGCTTGATTTGACTTTTCTTCTTTACGAGACCAGCACTTCTCTCCTTGGAGAATCTACATGTTTCCTCAAAGAAGTGTACATGTTTCGCCTGTTTCCATCCTCGGTCCACTTCGCCAGGTGATTTTGTGGATGCATATCGGCGAGACGGCGACGGAGTGTGATGGCACCAACCAGGCCTTTCGGCGACCGTTTTGATCAACTTCCCGAAACGGCGACGTTGAATCGCTGGCGGCCAAACCAGGCTGCCTCCGCGTGGGTGGCCTATGTGGTCTGCGCGGTGCCCGCATGGATCAGCCTGCAGCCTTTGCTAGGTGCTCCGCATGAGCTTTCGGATGAGTGCCTTGGTAGTCCAAAGCGAAGAAGTTGAACAGAAGCCTCTTAAGGATGAGACAACTAGGTTTTGGGAAAGAGGACTTGGTGAAAAGGAAACTTCACATCCCGGTGCCGCACATCCATCGGTGAAACGAAAGGGCCGTGACTCCGTGACTTAAAAAGAAAGAGTTCGTACTTGGAGGCTTTTTGTCTGGTGGCATTTGCTTTGTGGGAACACTTGCAATTGACCGGTCACCTTCGAGGATTTCAACATGTTTCGATGTATTTCATCAAAGACGTATCCAGGAAGAATGAGTGATATTTCATCGGTGAGAACAGTGAGGCACCGGCAGATGTGCCGCAGCTTTGTTGCCATGGCCATTCTTTGTGGGCTGTGCGGTGCGCTGGTGCAGTTGCTGGGAAGCAGCTTCAGGTGGATGAGCTCGGTCTGCACCTATGTGGGGCCCTGGCATCATCAGATGCTTGCTCTGTCTGACAAACAAAAAAGCTCACAGAGCAGTCTTAGATGAAAGCCGTGGTGAGACATAAAAATTCGAAGAAGCAGCATTCTTCTTGGATTTTGTCCAGATTTTTTGCACCAATTTGCCCACAAATTTTGCATCGAACACTCTCTTCTCCTGCAACATCCCCTCCCTTGGGAGTTGCAACATGCGGAGAAGCAGGGCCAGCAGGGTCTCGGTTCTGACTTCTTCAAACAAGCCTGCTGTTGCTTTGGGCATCGTATGCGGTGCAGAATTTCTTACATCAACAGTGATTGCTTTGTAACTTGTAACTGCAAAACTGGCCATGAGTAGGAGAACCAACATGGTCTCTCTCTGTCTCTGTCTCTGTCTCTGTCTCTGTCTCTGTCTCTCTTTGTCTCTCTTGCTCGCACCAGTCTGAATCAGTAGAATATTATTCATGAGATGGGCTCAAGGTGTGAGGTTTCTGACCACCCAGGATTTGGCCAGTCATGAACATCCAATACAACATCTTCCCCGGCTTTCTGGGCTCTTTGATCGGGAAGGTCTTGTCTGCTGGGAACCTGCTGCTCTATATGATCTGCAGCATAGGCCGATTTTTTCTTGAAGAGAGGGAACTCCAGATGTTCTACATAAGATGTTCTACAAAACACTCATTGCTTCACGCATCGTGCCAGGGGGCTTCTTGGCGCATCGGCCCTCCTACGTGCTGCCGGCCTTGGCGATGGTGGGCCTCAGCGCGGAGCTGTTGATCTTGGTTCTGGGGCCTGAGTGGCTCGAAGGACTTGGTAGAGGGGAGGACTTGGTGGAGGATGCGAAAGTTGGACATGAAAAAAAGTGTTCTTTTTTGCTTCGCAACCCGGCAGGTTTTGGACAGTGCAGTGGATGATAATGGGGTGGTTAGGGTCTGGGATCTCTTAAGGTCTTGAGCGAAGTGCAGATGGTGAAAACCCCACATGTGGGCAGGATTGGGAGCCTGGGCCTACATGCAGATAGCAAGAGCACCGATGCCTGTGGTCATGATGGCAATGATGAAACTCAACGGTAGGTTCTTAGTCATGGAAGTTCAGTTTCATCTAGAGTCTCTAGAGTCTAGAGTTGACACTTGAATGCTGCTGTTAAGGCGTCATGGCACCTCACCCTGCTCGAATAATGAAACACATGATTCTGGGCCATGAATCCGGCACACTGGCGCCACGCCAAAAAAGGCTTCGAAGCGGCCTCGAAGCGGCTACTCGCCCGCTTCTCTTTTGCGCCAGGTGGGGCTCTTTCTGGTGCTTCCAAGCCTCTGGCCTCTCCTTTGTTGCCCTATTGGAGCCCTGGCTCTTTGAGTCCTTGGGTGAGCCGAACCTCATGCAGGCTTGCTGGGAGCGTGCAGGGTTTTGGGGCGGGTTGAGGAAGGGGTTGTTGCAATGTTTTGTTTTTTGGACAGGTGGGTACTGCAGGCTGGATACGTGGGTTTGACAGTGTGATCAAGGCAGGTGTCTTGTGGTGCTGGTTTGATGAATCAGGAGACGCCGGTCGGACTATAACAAGTTTTCAACCCTAGCCAAGATTTACTTGGCTGATTTGCAGTATGAGATACATCTCAGGCTCTGATGGGAGGCCAAGGATGTGGCGACCCCAACATGTCGTGCGACTTCCAAAGTAACAAATGGTTTCAAAGCACCAGAAGTGCCTCACAAGTGCCTCGCCCTAGTCAAGCACCGGTTTTTCACTGCTTATTTTTTGGTGAAGGCAGAGGCTTGATTGAAGTCTAAGGCTAGTGGCTTTACCAGGTTGGGACCTGGTGCTTGGTGGCCATTCTTCCGACCGAAGCATGCGCCCGGTGAACGAGGCCCGACGTCTCTTCCAACCGAACGGCTCCGCTCCGACGGCCTTCGCTGCGCTCCGAGGCCTCGTTCGCGGCTCCGAGGGAGGCGAGAGACGGCGAGATGGCGGCGACGGCGCTGGGGAAGGAGGAAGAGGAAGACTCTCTGGTGTAGGCGGGGAGACAGTTGAATGGTTGATGGTTCTTGGTGTTTTCGTTATTTTCAGACTCTGGACTTTGGACTTTGGAATTTTGGTGAAGAACTTCCAAGTCACGGACACACCAGATCTGCATCAAACGACTTTTTTGAAGCCGGAGGCCACGCGCGTCGAAATTTTCACTCCAGATCTACAGGGCTTCCGAAAGGACTTTCTGTGTTTGGGATGTCTTTGAGGCATTGGGTGCTTTGCCAAACGTGTGAAGGTATGGGAAGGTAGCTGCAGGTTGGTGAAGGCATTGCATCAAGTGTGCTCCCTTTGGCTTCATGCTCTTCAGGGATGGAAGCTCCCGGTCGTTGCGGTGTGAGTCAACCGCTGGCTCCGTGCCGCCGACATCACCACATTACACCTTACGTCCGACCGCCGACGTCGGAATCAATTCACCACTCTACAGCCTCGCAAGTCGCACCAGATTGCACAGGAAAAAAAGCACAAGAGTAAAAGAACAACAGATCACCTCAAAGCAATGATAATCAGAGATCACGAAATCACGCGCATGTCGCCCCACAGACTCTTTCACCTTGCACAAACGGATCCACGATCCGCCACCAAATCTCCAACCACGCAGCATGCATCAGCTAGCAGGAGTTGCTCGGAGACAAACAAAGCAAGTTTTTGGCTACCGAATCGGATACGGTGGGGGATCCCTCCAAGCTGTGGCTCCCTGTCGGAGAACTAATTGGTCCAGTTCACTCCGGTCGCCGTAAAACACAACGTCCTCGCGACGACGTTCCGTGCGTCTGTGTTCGTCGATCAAAGGAGCAAAGTAGACCTGCACAGTGCAGGAGATAGGAGATAGGGGCCCAAGTCGAAGCGGATACATTTAACCTCGGCTTTCTTGTGTCCTTCCCCAAAGAACGACATGCGTTCTTTGTTCTTCTTTCACTCCTTTCTCCCCTGGCCATGCTAGTTTTCGCTACCAAACCCCCGTCCTCAAATATTCTTTGGAACTCGACCACATTCCTTGAGGTTGTTGCGTGACATCGCCACTGGAGCCCACGGACAGATTCAGTGCTCAGAACAGTGGCTCCTTCAACTCCACTGGATTCGTCACAAATTCGTCACGCCACACTCGTGGAGCAAGGCGGCAACAGAGGGTGTGAACGCACATGCAAACGGCCCATGTTTAGCTGCTTTGACGTATGGGGTCAGGGTTGAAAAGGAATGATCAGGGTGGGTGATGCCTTCACCGGCGTAAAGTCTTTGAGTCTTCGAGCCTGAGCCCGACGGACCTTTTTTCTTTCAAACAGGAGGTCCTTTCCAATGTCCAAGACATATCAAGACATTCCGTGAGGCCTATCCAACCTTTGAGCAGAATGTCCTGACCTGCCACTGCTATGGCTATGGTCTGAAAAAACGAAAGCAACACCATGCGGTTTGGGCGCTTGTTGAATGCTTGGTTCTGATCCTCCAAGATTGGAAATCGGCTGAAGAATGAAACGGATCCAATAGTAGTAGCTTCTTGTTACTAGTAGTAAGGCACTTGTTACTAGAAGCGATGCACTTGTTCCTAGTAGCTTATTGTTACTACTAATTATCTATTGTACTCTTAAACATGCTCCCTTTTCATTCGTTTTTCATTCTGTACGACTCTATCACGAAGAGTCAGGGCAGTTTCCCTCCAAGAGCCACGCCACGCGCGGCGATCAAGCCCTTGATGTTCAATGTTGGGTCGTTCGACATGGTGATGAAGTGCAGTGTCCATGAGAAGGCATGGCATGTTGACTTTCACATTGCCATCGCATCACTCTTATCACCGCCGGAGCCGGTGTGACGTCCCTTTTCATGGACGTTGGTGAACCAAGTTGAACACACACTGACCCCCACCGACAGCAGCGCCGCCAGCGCGCCATGTTTCATCCGAGGAACCCGCCGTGGTAAGAAGCTCTGGCTCGAGTTGGGTGCCAACATCAATGGGTTTCTCAACATCATCTCACCTCCGCAAGAGAATCCTCTCCACCTTTGTATGAGTTCTGGGACGGACTACAAGGGCGGGGTTCCAGAAATATTTATTTCAAGTCAGCTAAATGCCGTCAACCAGCATGCGCCAATCATTGGTGGGGAGTGGGTAGGTGTTCTCTTTGCCGCAGAGTATTTAAATGTTTTCATGCAGAAAAATCCAGATGATGAAGCACCAGTTTGTGAGACTGATGTTCCTGTAGTTTGCCATGCAAAGCGGATTCGGAACATAAGCCCAGGCCAAACCAACAACTAGAACCCTAGCCCTAACCGATACCGTCTTTGCTGGATCCTGAATTTGCAATGATTCGCTACACGAAGGGAGCATGGGAGACTTGGTTGCATCGGTTGGAAAGCTTCGGGCATCGTCCACAGATTCAATGTCAACATCCTCCCGAAAACTAACATATATCCTGAATAGACCCGTGCAAAGTTATTTTCCTCTACAACTCCTATACACTCTAGGGTGAGGGCAGCCCCAAGCAGGCATGGCCAAATCATCTAGGTGGCTTCCATGGGGATCATCCGACATAGTGACCTGTGAATTGATATGGAATCTCTCAACATTCAATATCATTCTGGCGCAACATGGTGATCGAACCAGGTGAGCGCTGGTAACACGCCCATGGCCATCATTGGCAATTCAGCATCGTTGTTATTGCGATATTCATGAATATCCCGTTGTAAGAAGAACGGACAGCACAACTCAGTCTGTCAAAACATTGTCCAAGAAATACATCCCCACCTGCCACGTGAGGATTGTTGGATTTTATGAGAGCTCTTCTCCTTCCCCTCCCGTCCTTCTTCTTCTTCTCCTCCTCCTCCTCCTCTCCTCGTCTTCTTGACTACCGCACCTCAACTGCCAGCTCCAGATCGCAATGGGCTTGCGGCTATACCTCAACTGCACGTGCATGATCGCAGTGGGCACTCCCGGACCTCAACTGCACGTGCATGATCGCAGGGGGCACTACCGGACCTCAACATCGCAGTGGACACTACCGGAACTCAACAGCAAGCGCCAGATCGCAGCGGGCACTACCGGACCCCAACAGCAAGAGCCAGATCGCAGTGGGCACTACTGGACCTCAACAGGAAGCGCCAGATCGCAGCGAGCACTACCGGACCTCAACAGCAAGAGCCAGATCGCAGCGGGCACTACCGGACCTCAACTCGCAGTGGGCACTGCCGGACCTCAACGCACAACACACAACCACACAACATAACCACAAACACACAGTGCACAATACACAACCAACAAAGCACAACCACAATACACAAGCACAAGCAGACAAGCTACGAACACAATCACAAACACAGTCACAAACACAACCACAAACACACAACCACTACCACAACCGCAGCCACAATCACAAACACACAGCCACAGCACACAACCACAACACACAACCACAAGCCCAGAAACCACAAGCGGAGCCACAAACACACAACCACAACACCAATCACAACCACAAACACACAACGACAACAATGTAATTACCTGGGTGGCAGGTGGTCACGGGTAGCACGTTTGGATGCCAACTGGAGACCCAGGCGACACCCCGACGCGCACTCCCTAACACTAAAATAGCAATCCCAAACCCCCACAAGCAAAATCGAAACTCACGACCATGGCAACATGCTCACTCGAAGTAACGTAAATTTTGGGGGATCCCCTATTTTGAGAAACCGTCAGATAGAGAATTGTATTTGTTTTTGGTCAGATTCGATGGTGGAATGGCATCACCTACTCAAGAAGAAACCCCGAAGATCTGCCATGGGCCGTTGGTTTCTTGGTCTTTGGGGCACATCAGCGCTGCTCCTGTAAACTCTTGTGAGGACCAGCGAGATGGACAATCAGTTATCATACTGCGAACCGGGTTTGGCTTCTTCAAAACTCAACAAACTCAACACTCGATGTTAAACTAGAATTACGATACTTCGAGTGGTCCCCACCCCTGGAAGCTGGAAGAAGGCTGGGCACATGTATTGACAGACTAGCCTGACAAAGGCGGACATGTGGATTGACTCACAATGTTCTAAAACTTGTTCTGGCATCATAAAGATTGGGAAATGTTCTCGATTGTCTTCTGACGTCCCGGTTGCTGTTGGCGTGTGTGCTGACATTTTTCCTGCGCTTGCTGTGGAGGTCGCTGTTGAGGCCCGGGAGTGCCCACTGTGATCTGAAGCTTGCTATTGAGGCCCCGTAGTGCCCACTGCGATCTGGCGCTTGCTGTTGAGGCCCGGTACTGCCCACTGCGATGTGGTGCTTGCTGCTGTGAGGCGAGGAGGAGGAGAAGAAGGAGGAGAAGGATGAGTCGCAGCATCCTTTTCTAAAACCTGACAACCCTCACCTGACAGGTGGGGAATTTGATCATCTTCACCATGCCGTCAAGCCATGTCGGAGCACCAACCCACTCTGCCCAGGAAACACTCTTCTACTGGTGGGGCGGCATCAACCGTCACTTGATGGTGAGCTCTGTTGCTTGGACCTTTTTCTGCCAAAGACTGAGGGAGAAAGCGGTGGAGATGGGTGTGCCTTTGCCAACTGCGGGAAACCCCCTCATTTGGAACACCTGGTGCAGAGAAAAAAGAGGAACATTGGAGGTTCGGCAGGGGTTGTATTCATTGTGTTCTAATGCGCGCCCAGGCCGAGACAAACACATCAGAACACACAAATTGGCAGGGCGATGACTTGGGATCAAATGACCTGCCAAAGCATGTCACTACTAGTCCCACAAAGCTCTAACCCACACAACATCCATCACCACATGCTATGATTTTAGGAAACATGATTTTCACAGAGCAAGTGTGCGAGGAGTCTCTGGAGGGTTGGATTATGTCTTCAAGCTCATGCTCCAGTCCTTCCACAAAGACCACCATTGATGACCTCCCAGATCAGTACTATACCAAACCTGCTGGGGTTGCAAAACTCAGTGGATGCTATCAGCCGATTGTTTTGCACCAGAGGGATGGAAAGGCTACGGCAGCTGCGGAGGTGTTTTCTTCCGAACAATTGTATTGCAATGTAATTCGGAAGAGTATGGAACACTTCAAACCATTCGATTGCACCTGATAGCACCAGTATCTTGTGAGAAGGAAGTGCCAAAGGTCACCATGGGCCCATAGCGGCCAAAGAACACACGAAATGCCTTCCGCTTCTTGATCCATCGTGACCCGGTTGGAGTTTCGTGATCCGTCGTGACCCGTTTAAACATTTGCGGACGTGTCCAAAACGAAAGCGTGCTGCTTTCGACGTGGTGTTTTTGGTCGTGAGGCTTTCTACCTTCTCTTCTTGGTGCTTCTCTACTACGTGCCCGGGTTCTCAGGTCTCTGCGTTCGCAACATGATCAAACCAGGAACCCTGTGGAAACTGTTCAAGCTTGTTGCTTTCGATCTTGGAAAAACGGGTTGCTTTCGGTTCGTGGAAGTTCTAATCACTGGTTGAAGGTTGCATGCCCTGGTTGGTGGTTCGATTGAACAGGTACAGATAAGAGAGTTCATGGTTAGATATAACTATTGTTCTTTTGGCCTAGGCCTAGACCTCAACAGCGAACCTAGGATCCTTCTTGTTGGTGCACCTACCCTGCGTTGATGCATTGCGAGTCACCAATTTGATCCATTCCCGCCGTCTCACAAACAAACAAAGAAGCAAAGAAGCCGCGTCAAATTTTGGACCCTGACCAAAGACCAATCCGGGCTATCGAACTTTTAACTTTTTTCGTTGGAGGCCATCGCCTTTTTGTGGCCAGCTACCATCCCCTGATGTTGTCGGTTGTTGGAACCTTCAGTTAAAAGCACGTTTGTGAAAGGGGATGTGCATTCATGAGCATACCTGGATAGGCGCTGGTACCGGATACTCCATGAGACTGTCAAGACCGCGCACTTTTGCCGTGGCTCAAGAAAAGAGCATCGCTTTGTTTTGCTGCCAGCTGTGGATCCATTCCACACTGGTAGCGGAGCGCTACATCGCTCCAGGGACCACAGGTCCCGGTCTACGGTCCCACGGGACCACGGCGCGCGCGTTGTGCACCGCATGGCGCTGCTGGTTCGCTACGTGAACTTCATCAAGGAGGAAGAGGCCAGGAACAGCGCGGAGGGCAAGTTCGGCGGTGGCATCCCCATGTTCAATGGTGAACCCACTCGCCTCGGCGAGTACACGTGGAGAGTCAGGGCAACGCCTGGCTCGTGAGGCTGCGATGGAGGAGTCGGAAGTTCGCAAATCGGGCCTGTTTGGGGCTACGCCTCATAGAGGGGCTCACCGGACTGGCCCTGAGGGTTGCCCAAACAGATGCCACACTCTGTGCTTGCAGCCAAAGACGGCGTGGAGAAGGGGTTGGAGAACTTGGCCGTGTCTCTGAAGCAAAAGCGCTCCCGTCAGTCGACGGAGCCAATGTCGACTTACCTGGTCAGGCGTCAAGCCTGGTATCAGGTCCTCGCCGACCTCGACAAGGAGTTGGCCCTTCCAGAAGTGATCCTGGCCGAGCAGACGCTCATGAACGCCGGGGTACGCTCAGCCCTGGGTGGCCAGATCACCATGGAAGGAGTTCATGCCGAGCTCATTGCGCAGCACTCCAGGTTGCATGAGCGTGAACATCGAGGTCATGGCATTGGCTATGAGAAGAACCGCGCACCATGGCGACCCCATCAACGACGAAAAGGAAGGTGGACAAGGACTTGGCTACTTCTCGGAGGAGTACCGCACCGACGACTGTGTGAACGACCAGTTCGACGACTGCCACACCTACCAGTCCGAGGCCAAGTTCTGGGAGGTCATTGGAGTGGGCTTGAGCTGCGTGATTTGCTATCCGTTCGGATTCCTTTTGCCTTGGGTGGGATTTTTGGTGAGTCGTCTCTAGCTCAGTCATGATCACCCGTGTCGTGCCACCCGCTATCCTGGGTGGTGCAGGCGCAGGTGTAGATTTGTGGGCAAAGTCAGGAAGAAGCCTCGGCGTCGTTGATCTCCGTCTGGTCTTTGGCGTCGGCTTGGCTGGTGTTTGCTGCTGCTTGGCTTTGGCACTCCGTGTGTAAGGTTGCAACCTTGCTCCCGGGTTTCCCTATGTCTGGCTGAGCCTTGTTTGCGTGTTGACAGTGGTTGCGCACCGCTGCCTGGTCTGAATTGCTTGTTTCGTGGTGGCGGAGGTGGTGGCCCTAGTAGTCGCAAGCGTAGAAACAAACAGGATCCGAACATGTTGCTTCAGGCTTTGGTTGCGGCGGTAAGCAGATTACTGGCCCTTGTGGAGCTGTTGCTGAGGGCACAAAGAGAAAGAAGAAAAGGAAAGACGAGGAGAATCCTGCTCCGTCACCTTCTTCTGGTGATTTGGGTGCTTTTGAGAAAGTTGTTGCGGGTATTCGTTCTCACCCCTCTGAGATGGTCAAACGGTTGGAAGGGTTCTTGTCACTGCTTAAAAACCCTAAGGGTAATGACAAGACCCCTGCTTCCGGTTCTGGTAATGATGGTTCCCCCAAGTCTAAGACGTGGGCTGATATCGCTAAAAAGGGTGCCAAAGGTCAGTTGGTGTTGGCAAAAACTTGTTTTGAGCTGAATGCGGTGCAAGATTTTGGACCGGTGCAGCGTACACTTGAAGCTGGAGAGAAACCTGTTGGAGTTATCTCCGTCGCCCCCTCGTTGGAACGTGCTCTTGAAACTCGTGGCCTTGCTGTTGCGCATAAGCTTGACCTTCAGTTTGCGGTGGTTGTGGATATGTCTTTGCAGCCATTGCCGCCTAGCGTTTGTGAAGTCACGTTGCCCATCTTGTTTGGTGAACGCAAGGTGGTGTTCAAGAAGCTTGGTTGTCTTGCCCTGTGGTCCGCTATGCCGGCAGTCAGTTCCGACTCAAAAGGAATTGGCCACAATGCGTGCGCATGTACCAATGCAGTTCTTGGCTAAGGATCAGTGGCAGGCTTGGAAATCCAAACCTGTTGCGTTGCTCAAAGAGTGGCTCGGTAACATTCCTTTCCATTCTAGCTATGGATGGGCTGAGACACAGGAAAAGAATCGCGCGGGTGAGTCGGACATCTTCTTGTTTGGACACCTTAAGGTGTTGACTGCTGAGGTGGATACGGTAACTTGTCTTTCTGGAAAGGCAGGTGTCTTTGTTCATCGGTTGGCCGCTGAGTCTTCCGCGTGGGTCTCACGATGCTCACCATTTTTTGCGCCTCGTGAGTGATAAAGCTAAGAGTGCCAAAGGCATCGTTGCTTGGTGGAGTGGTGGTGGGAGTTGCTAGGGTTTGGTGCGATCATCTCCAAGTGGTGCTCGTGTCGTTGGTGCATGGCGTGTTAAGGCTGTGCCTTTGACTTGGACCGAGGAGGATCTCTTGCAGGTTTTGCGTGACGCTGGTTGGCTTGAAGTTGAAGTGTTGGCTCTTCCCAAGAAGAATTCTGACCTTGGTTGGTCCGTGCTTGCGCCCCTACGGTTGGCGTGGTTGCCGCTGTTCGGGTCGGTGATACCTTGTTGACCTTGGAGCATGCTTCACCCCGTCCGGTCGCGGATCGTCAGTCTCAAAAGATTGGATTGAATCCTGTGGGGCATCGGCCCCGGAAAGCTGATCCTGCGCTCCAGCCTTCTTCTGTTGTTGACGCTTCTGGTGAAGACGCTGTGGGTGAGTGTGTTGGCGACGTTGATGATCCCATGGATTCTGAGGAGGCTGCGAAGAGGGCGGCCGGATCCCCTGGTTCGGTTCAACGCCCGATGAAGAAGGTCGCCGTCGGCCCTTCTCCTCAGAAGCTTTCATTTGATGCGCAGTCTGACGAAGTTGATTGCGGCGCGCTTGGTGCTTGTGGGTTTAATTGTCTCGCGGTTGGGGCTGCGTTGTGTCGTGGCAGTGTTCTCGCTGAGGTGTTGCCTAAGGCTCGCAGCATGGGTATAACCCTTCGCACGCAAGTTGCGCATCACTTAAACAAACATGCTGCTGATTATCGGCCCTTGTGGCAAGTTGACGATAAAACAACTGAGAAAATGGAAGGTGGCCCTGTTGCTTCTGACTGGACTTCTTGGGTTGAGAGCGTGAAGCGCCCCCCTCGTTGGGTGTGTGGTTTGACTTTAAAGGCTGCAGCCAGACGCTTGGGCTTGAGAGTGATAGTTGTTCAGCGGCCTGGTGACTCTTGGAGCTTTCCTACGGCGTTTGGTGGCTCGTCGGCTGGTGTTCTGGAGCCCTGCTGAAGGAGATCTGAGATCGTCAAGAACACGGTCACAGCGCGCCACATCGTGGGCGTTCAGGGTATGAGGATGGCCGCGATGGAGTCTACCTATGTAAAGAACTGTCGAGTCAACCATGCAGGCTTCAGTCCGGCACAGTGGGTGATGGGCAAACTGCCTGATGATGTGACAAGCCTCACTGTTGAGCAGGCACCCACACGTTTGGGTGTGCATGAGGAGATGATGACTGGTGCAACCGAGTTCGCTCAGCAGCTGAACATCAGGCAGGCCGCCAAGGAAGCCTTCGAGCATGCCGACAGCAGCCGCAGGATCAGGACGTCTTTGTTGAGACGCTTGGTCTGCTTCTTCCGACTTGGACGTTGGTACGGCCCAGCTCGGGTCATTGGACGTGAGGGAAGGAGCAATCTGTGGCTGACCCATGGTGGAATACCAATCGCCATCAATGAGGAGTCACGCAGGCCAGCGCTACAAGGAGAAGTGGTGGCAAAGCAACTGATCGAATTGAGGCCCTCGCGGAAGAGGAGGAGACAGATCATGCAAGATTGTCCCGGAGAAGGTCTTCTGATGAAGAGGCCCAAGACTCTTATGTGGACATCGGACCAACAGGAGCTGGAGGAGGATGTCATGATGAGTGAGCTCCTGGACAACCTGAAGCAGATCCACCACTGCGAATGGATTCGACGGCTGAGCAAGGATTTGGACGAGGTGGCGGCCATCCCAGTTCCAACTACAGGACCAGATGAACTTCAAGCGCCACCTGGACTATCATTAGACGAGGAGACTTGAATTCGATGAGTTTCAGGAGGCGATGAATGAAGCTGGCGGGGAAATGCCGAGGCACTCTTCGGTCGAGGAATTGGACATTGAGCCTGATGCCAAGAGGACAAGAGGAGACTACAATTACGACCTCTACACCTTTGCAGCAGTCAAAGTCAATGTGGAGATCCTTGGACGGACTTGATGGACATCCCACTTCCAGCTCTTCACCTCGGAGGCAACGATCCCGGACACCGCCAAGGAGCTTCTATGCCACTCAGAGTCGAAAGCAAAGAACGCAGGCATCTTGTCTTCGAGGTTCCTGGCCCGGAGGACCAACTACAAGAAGAAGAGCGCAGGGAGCAAGGAAATCAACTACACCAAGGCTTCACAGGAGATGCAGGCAAAGTTGAACATCTTTCGCCACAAGGAGTGGCTCAATCGGACCAACTTTGAGGAGCGTGCTTGCGGGCTATGAGGACGCCGGGCACCTGAGCATGGTCATGGATGGACTATCTTGTCGCCATGATCAAGGAGATCCTCACTGGCTCCGTGCTCAGGACAACACAGAGGTGGTCAAGCTGACGGACTGTCGGTCCAAGTTGGGCGAGGTCAACGCCAAGCGCTTGGCCATTGACCTATGTGGCATGCGCCAGATGGTGTGGCGTGGACGCAATGAGGAGGTAGGTGATCCACTGTTCAGCGACAGGCCGCCAGAAGATGCGACCACGCGGGTCTACGGGATCAGCGCGAAAACGATGCTGGCGGACCCGCTCACGAAGCGGATGGATGGCTCCATCCTGCGGACCGTGATGGACGGTCAGAACCTTGCAGTGGATTTTCAAGGGACCAGTGACTATCAAGTCAAAACTAAGACCGGTGTGAAAAAGGATGTGCATTCATTAGCACACCTGGATAGTCACTGGTACCGGATACTCCATGAGACTGTCAAGACCGCGCACTTTTGCCGTGGCTCAAGAAAAGAGCATCGCTTTGTTTTGCTGTCAGCTGTGGATCCATTCCACATGTCAGTTTTCGAGGGTGGGGGGCCAAGTTGGCCCAGGCCTTTTCAGGGTCCATACTTTCTTTGATCACTTCGACAAATAGGTGTAGCGAGTGAAGTGATGCACCCCAGGCCAGCGGGAAAGGTGAGCCCGATAACACACCCACAGGAGTTCTTCGTTCCCCTAGATGTATCAACAGTTCAACATGAACTAGGTCTATTGAATCTTTAGTGGACGGAATAGACATCGAGCCTTGCACATTCTCCAGATGTTTCATCGCTCGTCGGTTGGAGGCCATCGCTATTAGGCATGAAGGCCATCGCTATTAAGAAACAAAGAAATAGGAACAGGAAAAAAGGTCTAATTCTCGTTTCTCGTTTCTCGGTTTCTCCAGGCAACGCCGCTACGTCACCACGCGCATCGACTGCTCGACCAGTGGCGGGAGGTCCAAGTGGGGTAGCCGCCGGTCTGCTCCGTCGCTGCCAGGCGAATGCACGGTGTAGTGGTTCATAGCACAAAAAATGGTTTCCTTCACCAACCACTGGGCTTGATGCGGCCCTTTTCACGGCTCCTGAGGGTTAGGGATGCGCGAATGCGCGGGGACACTAGAAACTGGTACCGACTGGACTTTCTACACTGGCAGACAGGAAATCTTCAATCTTGCTTTCAACCAAGTACTGCATGTTTATACCCCCGACATCCCCACAGAAACTGCTGCAGAAAAATATCCTTCACCTCACCACTATAGACACCTTAAGGATACCTGGTCTCCTGAACTGTTTGTTGTTTTCACCACAGGTGTGGGATGTATCAGGTGCCCGCTGGTCTGTCGAAAGGTGTGGAGTTCTTTGCTCTCTTTGTTTCCGGAGTCCCCATATCCCAAAGCAGTGCTCTGCATAATTCCAAGCTTCCCCTACGATACTAGGCCGGTGGTGTGTGGAGCTGAGGGCAAAGGCATGGACTTGGGCTGACCCCCACTCTGTGAACAGTGGAACACCATTCAATGCAAGGCTTCAGGCGTCCTTGCTCTGGAGAACGACCACCATGGATCTGAAGGGGACAGCCTAATTGATCACCCAATCTGGTTCTGAACCTCCAGCAACCTGGAGCGGTGTCCTGGGCCCTTTGACAATGCAAGCTTCCTTTTTTTTGTCAAGCAGCATGGCATGGCACCATGATTGGTATGACACTCCTTGAAATCCCTGTGGCATCGCATTTTCTAGAACAGCAGACAAATGGTTACACCATGCTTTCACAGGAGTTCAGGGTTGTCGATGCTCGAGGTTCAGCCGGTGGTTGCTGTTTTCTTCGCTGACACCCAAGGCTAAGGGTTTCTACCGGTAAAAAGACGATCCCTGAGGCTTGTCAATGCTGGGCAGCCAGGGTTCCCAGTGGTGGAGATGGAGCACGGTTCAGAGTTCTGCCATTGAGTGTGGATCGAACAGGTTGAACATCAGACCTTTCTTCCTTTTCTTTTTTCTTTGTTTTCACTAGCGATGGCCTCCAACCTACCAGTTTGACTTGAGTTTTTCAACCAAGAAACCATTTCTGACCATCTTCGCTACATCGGGTGGATGGGCGGTCCATTCAGGTGCGGCGAGCCGGGTAGAGTGGTCCATGCGAGACGGGTGCTTTGACGGGATCCGACGAACACAGATCTCTGCTGACTAGTAGTTGTTGAGCAGTGCGGTTCTCTGCCTCTCGCAGAGAGTATCTTTGGAACGCACAATTTAGACTTTGAAGGTTTTAGTGCAAGATGTGTTCTGGGAGATTTGCATGATTCACTCAGTTTTACCCTTCTTGACATTGATCAAACAAACATATATATATATAGGTGGCTTGGCACCATGCTTGCTTCAAGAAAAGCTTACTTCGCTCCAGGGCAACGCTGTCAAACAGCTTGTGGTGTGTGGTGACGTATTTCATCTCCGATTCACGCCACCAGAAGCTTCTGCTCTCGGAATGGCTTTAAGGGAACTCCGAGGCGTCCAGGCACGCACGTGTGGAGGGCACGTGTGGAGGAAGCACATGACTCAATGAAAAGAACTTCCAAATCGGTTGGACTTTTTGTTGTGGTGTTCGTGTTGTTCAAGTCTTTTCAGGTCTGGCGACCCATCGGCAAGTGTTTCGTTTCCTTCGGGTTTGGTGCCGCTGCCGTAGCCCTCAGAGAAAGCTTGCGTGTGAGGCCTCACGGTCTTTCTGCTGGTCTTTCGCAGGGCTCCCGGAAGATGCAAAGCCATCGAAGCTCTGGGTCTGGACAGCGACAGATTTTGCTTCACGTGGTACGTGGGGATATCCGGCTATGAACATCCAACACCAGATCTATATATTATATACAAACATCCAACCAAAACATTCATCCGACGGATTTTCATTTGCAGATAGTAGTCTATTTAACCTTTGCGGCTCGCCCAAGCTGAGCAGAGGCTGCTCCACTCCACAGACTAAGCTGACAGGGCCGGGAGTTTTTTTTTGGCGAGGAGAGAATCCGCAGGGGTGGGACCGGGTCGCGAACGTGGCAATGGGCGAAGATGACATCAGGTCGCGCACGTGGCATGTTTCGTGGCGCCCGTGGGGAGTTTTCGAGAAGAATCACCAACGGGTGTTTGGCAACTGAAGAATGGACGCCATGAGGGAAACCTTAGGTCCTGTTCCACCAATTTCGCCAACAGCAATACCAGCGTCACAGATGCTGTGTTTGAGCCCAGTGGGCTGTGTTGCCCTCAAAAACGATCAAATCTGAGTGTGTTGACCACCGCCGTTCTGCAGCCAGTTTTTTCGTCGCGTCCGAAGCCCCGAGCGAGAGGCTTCGAGAACAGCGCAGGTGATTTTCCTAGCCACCGACTCCAAAGTATCTGAAACAAATGGAGTTGCCAGGACCCATCAGGACGATATCAACTCCTTGAATACCTCTTCACTGCCTTCCCAGCGAAAAGACTCGCCATGGCGATCACCGTCGGGAAGCAGCACTCCATCCACAGCGGGTCCTCCTGTTCGCTCAGTCCGGGGCGAAACCCCAGCGCCGATGGCGCTGAGGGTGTGGTGCCGCACGAGCGGGGTCAGTGGAGTATCATGGCAGTCCACTCCAAGCAGAGCTTGTTGAGGTCCTCGGAGAGCTCGAGCTGCTCCGAGCCCAAGGAGCGCTTTGCAGTAGCGAAGCGGTATTTGCAGCGTATATTTTTCCGGGTGGGTGGGGGTGATTTCGCAAGAAAAAGAGTGAGAGAGAGAGGGAGACACTCTTGTGTCTTGAGAAAGAACATTTTTGTAAATGTTCATTTAAATCTATCATTTGGTGTCGCTGTTCTTTTCTTAGATGCAGCAGCCTAGCAGCCGAAAATTCAAGATTTATTGTCATCATGATTATCTGGATTCAAGATCTATTCAATGTTCAGATGAAACCTGTAAGGCTTGTATCTTACTAGCCAGTTCTTTGTGCCCAAACCTTGGCGATGGGTCATGTAACCCTTTTTGGTGGCTGGACTCACAACAAGCCCCTCCTCGGTCGTTTTGCCGTTGCAACCTGAAGTGCAAGAGGCGCTTCGGACCATGTCAAATCCCATGTCAAAGAGTGCCAGCGAAGATGAGCAAGAACAGCATGCCAAGGCACCAGTGCTGGGGGGTTTGGGTTGAGAAGTTGCTGTGAAAAAGCAGATGCTCCTCATGTGCCTATATTTGCAGACACCGGAAAGACCTCGAATGACTCCCCCTCAAAAGGTGCGCACACCACAGGATCACACCTTTTCAGCTGTTCCTCACGGGGTCTTCGCGATCATCGCATCACTCGTATCAACTGTCCTGGAGCGCAAGCTTTTCCTACCATGCTCTGCTCGTATAGCACAAGTCAAGTGGTCAGCAGGTGAGAGGGATTGGGGTTCAAACGGCTCAGAAGTACAACTTCGTGAAGAGATTTGGCTGCTGTGGGTGTTTAGACTTTACGAAGCCCCTTGACAATGCTGTCAATTGTTCAGAGGTAGCTCACAGAAGAGAAATCGTTGTTTTAATTTCACACAACCAGTTGGATAGGGGCCAGCTATACACGCTATAGAACTACCCTCATATACTGTATATAAGTAGTTCCCCTACCATCCGCTAAACATGGATACTTTCAATTCGTTGTGCATGGAATTTGACGCTGCCCGCCTCAATCGCAGGCACGTAAGAGCCTTTAGGGTCGTTTTGCTTAGCTACTTTACCACAACGTAGAAGTGGAACATGAACCAGTGAGAGACAAGTTTCCCCACACTGCATAGCCTACCACCTGGATGGTTTTCGGGCAGTTGTTTTGCTTTATATAATTTAAGTTGGGCTTGGACAACTGGATCTACCACTGTACCACCACAGTTGAAACCAATATGCTAGAAGTCCTTTTCAGGGGAGTGGAATGGGAGGTTGCTTCCTGGAGATGGGCTGCCCATGTGTACCAGGGTTTGAATGAAGCAGCTTACCAAACCTCCTTTATTGTAACTCTACACGCGAGAGAAAAAAGAGAGGGACTGAAAAAGATGATCAACACCAAGACGATAGTGAGGTTTATTTAACACCAGGATGCTCCTTGGTCAGATTTCACCTAAAATTATGTTGTTTGAAGCGATCCAGAGCTCAACATCTCACACTTCCTGGTTTTGAAGCACTTCTCTTTCAAGGTGGGAGTGACCAACTGACTGGTGAGAAAACAAAAGGAACACTGATTGCACGCCAGATCTGTTTCCTTTGCAGATTCAATGCTGCAAAAGAGTCTCATCTGTTCGTCCTTCCAGTTGCCAACTTGCCCCGCTTTCGAAGACATTCACCACTTGGTTTTCCACCCCAACAAGAACCGTTCGCCGTTTGTCCGCATCTCCTACGGCTGCTTACACTGCCGACCACGTGTGTCAGGTGGCTGCCTATGTCTCCCGCATGGAGATCGTCAAGCCTGAAGTGCTCCGGGTCACGCGCGCGCACCAGGCCTTCCAGGGCTTCGCACGTGCGCTGCGACCGAGCCCCGGAGGCGCACCGAGCGATCGACGGGAGGGAGCGAGTTCGTAGCACCGATGGAAATCAACTGGCTCAGGAGATTAGACCATGAAGATCCATGGAACGCCGATGGTTTGGATCTTTTTGGGAGGTTGTAGACGCGTTCGGGCGAGTTCAACGGGCTCCATAGCTAAAGCAATTTCTGGGTATCGGTGGACGGACCGTAGACCGAGAGAATGTTCGACAGACCGGGCTTTGCGTCTGAAGGGCTTAGAATATTGACTCAGAGGAAGCCCACCTGCCACTGCAGTTCCATGCCGATCCCGGTTAAAGACCAAGAGCCCCGTTTTCTTTTTCTCCGATTCTGAGGTGACCTGTACAAGAAGAGCCAGATGAGCACCGAAGTGTCCAGCTTTTGGTCTCATTCTTGGCACGGTGGGCACTGGACGAAGATTTTTTCCCTTCTCATGCACTACAATGGGCTGCCTTCGGTCCTTCTTGGTGCCTTGGCAGAAGCCGAGCAGCAAGACCCCGAAAGAATTGGAGAAACCGATGGTCGCTGAAGCCCTTGGAGAAGACTCGCAGTTGCTCCGCATCCTTATCACTTCGAGTTCTCTTGAGCAACCCTTTTTTCATGTAAGGAGCTGGTACTAGTAGCTTCTTGCTGCTAGTAGTATGGCCAGGAGCCCCTGGTAGCGTCCTTGCTCCTAGTAGCGATGCCCTTTGTTCCTAGTATAAAGCATAAATCCCAGATCGAGTAGGATTGGTAATGTCACTAGATTGGTCTGAAAGTCTTACCTTGTGCGAATGCTTGCCCACCAAGCCTGTATTGGTTTCGGGTGATATAGATGTGACGTCGCTTGCCCTCCGTCGCCGAGCGTGTCGTACCGATCGAATGTCAAGCTGAGCACTTTCCTGTTTCTATGCAAACTCTCGAGCTCGGTAGGACGGCATTACTGTACATATGAATGCTACTTCGACTACGAGTACGAGAACGACTATTGATACTGCTGCTACTGCTACTTCTACTCCTGCTGCTGCTGCTGCTGCTAGAGTACTTCCAGTACTCCTACTCTGGTGCTACAAAACTCTCGGTGCACCAGCAAGCGACCTTGCCACAGGATTCTCGAACTGAGGCCTCTTGGCCGCTGTTGTCATGGCTATTCTTTTTGGCTTTGGCCTTCTGCCGGGCATCGTAGCTCGGCAATTCGTTTTGGACACTCCCGCAAATCTGTAGAAGTGGCTCTTAGGCCTTGTTTTGCCGAGGAGATGGTCTCGTTTTGGGTTTTTCTTTTCGCCCCGGTGATGGCGCACAGGAAGCTGACGGGATCGGGCACGCTTTTAGGGGGATTTGAGACTTCCCTGCCACTTCGTCTTGGCAGGTAGGAAGGAATTATGAGTCATGAGACACATTCTTTCAAGAGCCGCTTCTATGACTTTTCTCGAAACCGATCTTCCTTTTTCTCGATCGAGTCAGGTACGCTTTTGGAGTCCTGAAGACATGCAGTGGTCGACCTGGTCCAGCTGCTTCGGCTTTCTGGTCTCCGTGCTGAGTTTTTTCCTCTGGCGCTCTCAGCAGCGGGCCGCTGAGCTGAAGTGATTGTTTCTGGGGGTAATTTCACTTGGCCAGAACACATGGGTGAAGCATCAGTCTCTACCAGTCTTCGGTTCCCAAAAGGGGGGCTGTACACCGAAGAGGGCGAAGCGCAAGCGAAGCGAATCGGGGCGAGCGGAAAAGAGCAACCGAGTCTTGAAGGCAGGCTGATCGATGAAGTTCCTATTGTTTGTGTGAAACAAGACAAGAGACAAGAATACATGGGAATTCGGGGAAGACCACTCCGGTTCCGAATGGAAAGGGACGAACGAAAGGTGCGGAACCCTGGGTGTGGTCAAAGCCAAATAGAATCAAAGCCAGGAACATCCAGGAACCGAACCACACTCTTTTTGAGTCTTTCTTAGCATTGTCAGATGAAAAAGACTCTCATGGTTGCTTTGTAGAGCAGACGATGGTTGTCCAACTCGAGTGAAACTCAGTTCACCCTTCAAAATGAGCAGAATAGTCCACCCCACACTGTTGAGCGTGCGACTTAACATCAACCCTCACTTCGTCTTCTGTCTTGTGTAAGCCAGGGCTGCCCTTTATTCCGAATCTTGAATCACGGTCTCTGTGGCAGTTTGCCAGGTCTTCCTGGACCGGATTTGCATCAATGAGCACGACGAGGACCTGAAGTCTGCAAGTATCTTCAGCTTGGCTGGAAT